GAAGAGGATGAAGAGTAGGACAAAGGAGGAACTGAAAGGGAAGCAAGTCACGATCTGGTCGGCGTTGTTGGGGGATGGAAGCAAAGCTCATGATACACGTAGTAGTATGGTTCGTCACGTAATAATATCCCCATCATGTTGTTGTTAGCGCTTTGTACTGTAGGCTCATTAATTCGACCTTTGTCTCGTACCTACATACCATTACGACAATTTCCATTGAAGTCATGTCATGTCTTGCCATAGATCAGGTCTTCAAGTGCGGATCCTCGGAATGGCGCATCAACCCTTGATCCCCATCAAACATCACCTCACCGACGCCCGCAACACCCCGAGCTTCTCCGCGTCTTCGGGGTCCCCGTTCCCCCACGGGGACACAGGGCTGGCCCCAGCAGGAGACCCTTGAAGTCCCAGATGCCCGTAGCACTCGCTTATTCTGGGACTGGGGAAACAGAGATGGGCAGCTGCCTGTCATGAGAAGCGGTGATAGATGGATGGATGCTGAGATCTGGGATGAAATCTGAGCATGCCATGTTGTGTCGTGGGGCTGTTTTTTACGGATGCTGAAAGAGAGCGACTTTCAGGTTTCTTTCAGCTGGAAATAAACAAAATTCTTTCAGGGCCGTCCCCACTATCGTTTAGGCTCCTCATCGCTGACTCCCACTGAAGCTGGGGTCATGCCACTCACCGCGGCTGCTTACATTTAGCAGGCCCTGCAGGCATTGACCGAAGAGGTACTTGGACTCCCGCCGTAGCGCAGGTGCCACGGAAGTACACTTCCATTCATCCATTGCGGGACGGAACATGACCGTACGTACCTTGCCTTTCCCCCGCGCAACCACTTCCATCCCTCGCTCTCCGTCTTTCGGTCCCAAGCGTGGGCCTTCTCCAAACTCAACCTTAGCCATCTCCAACATCCATCCACTGCAGCCCGCACGCATCATTTTACCACCCCCGTTGGATCCTCCTTCTTGTCACGTCGGAGCCGCAATCAGACAACAACTAATACCCCGTCGCCCAATTAGACCCGACGCACGCGCTGAGAGCAGCAGCAGCAGGAGGACGCTACCAAGCCGTGGGAGACGCGGGCCTCCCGTCTCTGTCCCCGTTCCCCGTTCCCCGCCGTCCGCGAACCTGTTTCTGCCTCTTGTTTCTACTTCCCCAGAGGTCGCCACAACTCGCCGCGTCGACCCGATCTAACCCGCCCATTCATCCTGCATAACTCTGCAGCCTGGCTGCTGTAACTTCCGGACTTCGCGACCAACCTCTCTACGACTTTTTCAGACCAATTTCCTGCGAATCATCGTTTTGTCGACTCAGCTTAATTAGACTTTGAGCCTCTTTTCGCATACTCATCGACTATTTTAACTCGGCGACTTCTTCCCCGCCCCGCCGCTCTTCTCTGCATCGATAAACTCATCAACTCCGTCCGACCGAACGAATGCCTACGAACTGAATCAGTCAGCTGCGCTGCCGCATTGGTTAGACCGTCACTTCTCGACAAAAACCCAGTTTCCCTGCCATAGTCATGTCTGATATGATGATGGCCGATTCCACCGGTCTGGTTGATCCGCCTGGCTTTGAGGCGGATCAACGGACTCCAGAAACGGCGCCGCCATCCTGCGACGACGACGCTTCCACAGACGCTGATGCCTCTGACCTGCAAGCTTGGCCCTACGACGCTCCCTCAGTTGTCTGGCCTCGCGACCGGCTGCCCGTCGAAATCTTCGAGATCATCACCACACATCTCACCAGGTTCGAAGTCAGAAGCCTGCGGCTGGTGTGCAGGGAATTCGAAGCCAAGGTGTCGGCGCAGTATTTTCGAAATGTCGTTGTACCTTTCAAGTCGGAGCTCTACAGTACCCTGGGTCACGATAGAAACGGCGTCCTCAACCGCACGTCGTCGGCTTTGCTTTCAAATGGCATGCGCATCTTTGAATCTTTTGGCCCTCACATCTGGCGCTTTGCTCTGTCGCTCGAGCTTGACGAGGATGCCTTGGCTTATCCGCCTATAAAGCCTACGCAAGAAGCTGTCCCGGCCTTCTGGGGCTTGTATCGTTGGCCACACACCACCTATCACCGGTACTCAGACCTCGAGGGACTCGAACAAACCGCCGATGAAACCGGGGCTATGAAGGATGCTCTCAAATGCTTGTCCAAGGTTAGAAATCTCGGACTTTGCTGCGACGCCGGCCTCGGATTTCTCGCAGGACCCGATCACATTGCTCGCAATGCAACCACTCTCCATCCCGTCTTTGCAACTCAAAACTGGCGCCGCGCGGGTTCGGAGCCGGATCAACGGAAGCGTCCCATCGTCACCGTGGGTGAGGTGACTGATCTCGTCAAAGCCATGAAAAAGCCCGTCTTTGAAAACCCAATCAGCTTTAAGAAAACTGTTCTGCAGAAGATGGTCACTGATGCTGGGTTCGAAGGCACTCAAATTAACGAGGCGGTGCGCATGATCCTGGAGACAGAAGATTCCAATCTGGCCGCGATTGATTTCGACGAGAGGGCGTCAATGCTCAATAACTTTGAGGGACGACGGCCATTCTCGCCTAACAGACTGCTGGCTGATTTTGAGCCCTCCTCAGACACTACGAAATACCCTCTGATCCCCTCTAGCCTGACGACGGCGCAGAAAGAGATGCTCCTTGAGCTTGAGTGGGCACACCGAGCCATGATTCAGTCATACGTTATTGGCTTGATTGACAATGCTCGCGACGGTTGCTTCCAGAACCTGACAACTCTCACGATCGCCAAAATCCCTAGCAGCCATGTGTACATCTTCAACCGCCATGACCTCTGGCAAAACCTCCCAACTCTCAACAACGTCTCATTGGGAGTGATTGCGGATTGGCGACGAGTCTCCAAACCAGCTCCTGGTTGTGTCGAGGACAGACCTGTTTCCCCTGTCGAGGCGGTCGAGAAGGTATATCAGCTCCTCAACACCTACATCGGTGCTCAGCAGAACATCGAGAGTCTTCACTTTGAATGGATTTGCGGTGGAGAGTTTGCGCCTGGAACATACCAGCGAAACCACTATATCCTCCCAGCCCCCTTTCTCCCAATGACCTATCTTATGAGTGCGACGGACAGCCCCAAGACTCACGGAGATTCCATTCTGAGCCTTCCCTTTGTCAAGCACTTGTCGCTCAAGAACTGCTGGTCATCTCCACATGTGCTTCTGCACATGATACGCTTCATGGCCCTCTCCTCACTTGAGAAGCTCGAGCTCGAGTCAGTGTCGCTCTCTGGTCCTCCCACAAACCAGACCCAGGCTCCCCTTCTTCAAGGCGGAATGGGACCAAACCCGAACGCTGCAAACTTGCTAAATCTATTCCAACAAGTGCATCATGTACCCGCTGATCAGGCAACGCTGCCGCACCAGCAACCGCAGTTCCAGCCACAAAACCCACAGCAGCCGGCCTTGGGTGATATTGGCATTGTGGCTCAACCAGGCGGGAACTGGGCTGCAAACATGATCCAAAATATGCAGCCCCTCGTACAGCCACAACAGCAAGACGAGCATCAGCAAGATGACCAGCAAGATGCACAACAAATCCCTCCTCTCAACTTACTGAGCCAACTCAACACCTTGGTCCCAGACGCGATGCCTGGGCCAATGGAGACGCTCCACCAACCCGAGTGGCTGTCTTGGGCAGGTATCATTGAACATTTCTCTCCCGGTATCAAGATTCGAAATATCCTGGCAGAACAGACGGGCTCGACTGGTGCACCAAATGAAGACTCGTGGTTCGACGAGTTGATTCAGTTGGATCAATACCTGCCATGGATAAACGCCCTCGAGGTTGATGAGAAGTCGTATTCCCTGAAGTGCCTCTCATTCAAGTCATGTGGCTACGTGTCGGTCGACGCACCCTTCCTCAACACAAGAGGCATTCTTCCTCATGGCGCCCAGGGACTTGGCGGTAACGCAAACCCCCACAACCAGGATCTCACTGCTCTCATGCAACGATGTCGTGATAAGATGCTCGGCCGTATTTCGCCCTACATCTCAAGCCGCGAGCTGTTCCAGCTCATCAACGCCTTTGGCATGGACATGGGCTGGGAGAATGTCTATGATAGCAAGACGATCTCTGATGCTGTGGCTGACGGTGTCGAGAGCCCTGGGAGAGGTCGCTTCTCGGGGACAATAGATGCCGACTATGCGGATCGAGGTGCAACCGGGCACTTGGGCAACCTTTCCAACATGGAAGGTCTGGGCTCGTTCTCATAGGACGAGGATGAAGAAATGGCTCCCATGGAGGAAGGAGATGAAGATGGCGATGAAGTTGACGATGAAGACATGACTGACACGGAGGACCAAGGTGTGCCTGAGGTCGAGGACGCAGACATGGACACTGAGAGTAATTCTGCCACTGAGACCGAGTATGAGACCGAGTACGAGGACGAGGAGCAAGTTGATGGTGTTGCTTTTAATTATTCTCCTTTTGTTTTGTAAAGGCAGGAAGGGCTTGAGGACATGACATTGGGCAAAACAGGACTGTACAACCTCGCAATGGACTCGCGAATGATGATGGATGGACGGATGGATGGGTTTGGGTTTACAGGGATTACGATACCGGCTCGGGAGAGCCCATGTTTATATGTGTATGTCAACTGTTGTTGGACAACATTGATGTTGGAGTACAGTAAAGGCTCGCGCTGAATAGCTTACTTGGATGGTTTTGTAGCCTTGAGCACAAGACGATGTGAAATGCAATAATCTTATGGCGTTGGCATGAAGGGATTGTGAAGCTTGTCAAGGCGGCAGGAGGACAACATCATGGCCAGAGCTTGTCCCATCAACGGCATTGACTGACTTGCATAACTTGCCGTCTAGTCAATCTTCACGGCAAGAAGCATTGGACGTCAATAGGGAGTCGTGAACCCTGGACAGGGTTGTATCGTCAACACCAATCGAGGAGCTGCTCTATGCCGCTGCTCATCATGTACCAGCATAACCTGGTCTCTGATCACATCACATCACAAACCAGCACTCATGAGGACTTGATTGATTTTATTTCGTCAAGAAAGCCTTGCGAATTTTTGCATGCGTTTCCCTTTAAAAGCCATGCTCACCGTAGCCTGCCATACACCAGGAGATGAAAAGCCACGAATCGCCCCCGCAAAAACCCTTAAAACATTGTGGAGTGCTTTGTGTTGTGCCTTGTTCACGTCACAAGAGGTTCCTCCCCCGAAATAACCAGTCTCGACCAGCGCTTAACAATTTTTGTCTATTGAGAGGGCCCCCCAAGAGGAAATTGGGAAGAGAGCTTCTCTACTTAAGCGGCGGTGATGGCCTTGCGGAGACGGGCACCGCGCTGTCGCGAGCTGAGGTGCTGGTCACGCTCGGCGACGGCATCGGACTTCTGGACGACCTCATCAGCCTCGGTGAGGATGAGCTCGATGTGGCAGGGGTTGGACATGTAGGGGTTGATCTGTCTTGGGTCAGTATTTGATAGGTATGTCATCCAGGGTCGAGGTTAACATACACGACCGTGAGCACGGTATGTCCGTCGTCGCTGCTTGGGGGCCTGGTTGACCTGGATGTGCTTGACGACCAGGGCACCAGTGTCGAGACCCTTGGCATCAGCGTTGGACTCGGCGTTCTTGAGGAGGCCGAGGAGGAACTCGGCGGACTTGACGGGCCATCGAGCCTTGGAGACACCGAACTGCTTTCCTGTTGGGGAAAAAATCCATCAGCATCTTGTTCCCAACGTAATCCCATGATTCACACTCTCCACCTCTCCATCTCCAAGTGTTTCGCATGTGGGGGAATCTCGAAGGTCGTACCTTGGGCGGTTCGGCCAGTGCTGCCGGCATATCGTCGCATGGGGACAGCCTCCTTGTGCTCCTTGACGTTCTCGAGGAAAGCAACAGCGCGCTGAAGCTTCCAGCCGTTGATGGCCTGGGCGGTCTCGCGAGTGTTCTTGAAGGACACTCGGAGGTAGGCACCGCGGGCGCGGGCCGACTTCGAGGACTGAATCTCGGTGGCAGCGTATCGAACCTGTGTTGCGAAGAAAAAAAGCCAGTCAGCCGTGGCATGTTCTCAGAATATTCCCATCACGAGAAAAGAAAAAAAAAGGACGCTGCAAGCACACAGCACGAAAACTCGCCCTCGACGACATGACCGTCGTCGGAAGCAACAATTCGTGCCCGTCTCGCGCGTGTATTCCTCCTCTTTCTAATTCATCGCGATCGACGGGACTGGGGGGCGCATTGGTACTCACCATCTCGGCGACTTGGGTGGTGAGTGACGGTTATCGACGACGACGTGGGTTCGGGCGGGCTGAAGTTGAGAAATTCTGAACTTTTGCCCTAACAGGTCGGGAGGGACCACAAACTCGCTTACTCAATTTGGGTGGTGAGAGGTCTTAGGGTTTGGCTGCCCTGCTGGTTGGAGGTACGAAAAAAGACGTAGTAAATCGTGAGAAAATCACAAAAATCCTGAAAGAGTCTGAAAAGAGCCAAAAGATTCTAATTGACTTTGAGAATGAGTCTGGAATGGTTTTATCTCTTCCTGTGTCGTGCACGAAAGGAATATCAAATTCAGACTGATGTGCACCAGATCACCTGACCCTGCCATCCATCGGCACGTGATTTCCAACTTTGCACCTTGCCTCGTCCGTCCCATCCCCGGAGCCACACTCCCCACTCTCGGAACCGGAGAAACTTGCTGCAGCAAAGTGGATCTAAGCTTCAAGAGCTTCAAAAAATTCTTTCTCGACAAGTCCCCCAAACGCCCAGCGTTCCCCCCAGGCAAGGCTACACAAAAGACAAGATTGGACTCTGATCCACGTCCGCCTTCTCTCGACGATCTCTCCTCGCTTGGATTCCTCCTCGATATCGACTTTCTCTGTCGTCCCTAGTTTCTTCAGTCCCTTTCAATTCCTTCCCCAGGGAAACTTCCAAATCAATCCGATATCATGGCACCTTTCACCCCTCGAGGAGGCGCCCGTGGTGGCCGTGGAGGCGGCGCTCGTGGAGGCCGTGGTGGTTTCGGTGGTGGTGATCGCGGCGGCTTCGGTGGCCGTGGTGGTGCGCGAGGTGGCTTCGGTGGCCGAGGTAAGAAGAGTTGCGCTGTCGCGCGATCTTGTCGTGTTTTGCATCTTGAGACTGACTGTTCGCAAAAGGTGGTGGCCGTGGTGCTCCCCGTGGCGGTCCCCGCGGTGGTGCTCGAGGTATGAATGACTCCTACTATCTACACTCTTGAATGGAAACTGACAATCTGAAAAGGTGGTCGTGGCGGCGGTCGCGGCGGCTTCGGTGGCAAGCCTGGCCAGAAGGGCGGTGCCAAGGTCATTGTTGTATGTTGAGACGCGATCCTCAAAGTTGAAAGTTTTGCGATCTAACACCTTATCTAGGAGCCTCACCGCCACCCCGGTGTCTTCGTCGTCCGCGGCGGTAAGGAGGATGGTCTTGCGACTCGCAACCTGACCCCTGGCGAGTCCGTCTACGGCGAGAAGCGCATCTCTGTCGACGAGACGGTCCAGAACGACGATGGTACCACCACCACCACCAAGATCGAGTACCGCATGTGGAACCCCTTCCGAAGCAAGCTTTGCGCTGCCATCGCTGGTGGTGCCGATGAGATCTACATCAAGCCCGGCTCCCGCGTCCTCTACCTCGGTGGTGCCTCTGGTACCTCGGTGTCCCACGTCGCCGACCTTGTCGGTCCCACCGGCTACGTCTACGCCGTCGAGTTCTCTTCGCGATCCGGCCGTGATCTCATCACCATGGCTTCCAAGCGACCCAACGTTGTCCCCATTGTCGAGGACGCCCGTCAGCCTGCCCGCTACCGCATGATTGTCCCCATGGTCGATGTCATCTTTGCCGATGTTGCCCAGCCCGACCAGGCCCGTATCGTCGCCATGAACGCCAACTGGTTCCTCAAGGTTGGCGGTGGTGTCCTCATCTCCATCAAGGCCAACTGTATCGACAGCACTGCGCCTGCCGCCGAGGTCTTTGCCAACGAGGTCCAGAAGATGCGAGCGGAGTCCATCAAGCCCAAGTTCCAGCTCACCCTGGGTAAGTTTTCTTAAACATGACAATGACCTACCTCAACTAACAGTCTTCAGAACCCTTCGAGCGTGACCATTGTTTGGTTGCCGGCGAGTACCAGCGCTACAAGTCCTAAATTGACATGAGCGGCTAAGGAGTTTTCGCTTGGAATCAAGATGAGAAGAGATGGTCTGCTTTGTCATGCGGTTTCCCAGGTTTCTCACGATCCCCGGTAGACATTTCTTGCGCGTCTTCAGCTTGCATCAGGGAAAAATGGTTGACGGCTTTTCTTCAACAAACGGCGAGGGGCGTTCCGGGTGGGTTGGATCTGTATACATATCAAATGTTGTCCCAAATCATTTTTTTGGTGGTTTCACGGCTCCAAGAAATCTATAAACAGTTGATCACAAACCATAAAGCACAACCAACACCACCCCCGGGGACGACGTCCTTGATTGAGCGATCGGAGACGAATATGGCACGGGATCAGACAGACGATGGATGCTTTATGTGGCCAAGCAAGCAGTCTGGTACACGTCTGCCCGGCCTACGACTTCATGATACCCCCATACGATGGCCACGCCTGGCGTCCCTGTGTTGTGTCTTGTTTATAGAGGATAGTTTAGGAATGCAATTTGTAATGTTTTGACAGTTTACCTTAAGCCGAATGACTGCTGGGTGACGCTGTTATGAAAATCAATGAACCATAGATTGATAGGATTGGGAGCCATTTAAGCTTATTCTTTACATGTATTCATCTATTATCGTGATGTTTATCTATCTACAGCAACAGGGTATATACTAGTCATCAAGGTCTATTTCTGTTTCGCTCATACTGCCAGTGACCGGCGTCGAAATTCGAGCTCTGCATCTGGAGAAGGCGCCTTGGTCATGACCATCGCCATGGGCATTGGGCGATCCTCGCCCTTCTTGAGGCGAATGTCATAGTTTATGAGCAAATGTGCCAGCACAAGTTTGATCTCATTGCCAGCAAAGAAGCGCCCGGGGCACGCATGCTTTCCAGCGCCAAAATTGATGTTTGTGTCATTGAGGGATGTGAATTGCCATCGGTTGCTGGCCTCATCTGACTCCTGGCGAAGATTGTAAAAACGCAGGGCATCGAAGCGTTCAGGGTTCGGGAAGTATCGCTCATCGACAGAGATGCCTGCTTGGGGAGCGAGCACCTTTGTTCCAGGGGGAAGCTGGGTGCCGTCGGAGAGGGAAATCGGTTTCATGACTTTTCGGATGAAGGATGCTGAGTTCGGTTAGTTAAGCGGAAATATGAGGCAGAACTTGAAACTCACTGATGTTTCCACGAAGGCGCTGAACTTCCCTCATGAAACTGTCCATCTTCTTCAGCTTGGCCATGTTCTCCTTTTTCTCCCACCCCTTCTCCACTTCAAGAATACGGTATGCCTCCTCGCGTAGCTCATCTTGCACCTCGGGGTATGCTGCCAAGTCGCAGAGGCATTCGCAGAGCAGGTTGTTGGTCGAGTGGATAGATGCCGCGGCAAGAATTAACTGCAGCTCGGCCTGGACCGTAACGTCGGCCTTCTCCTCCTCGGGCAGCCCTTCAATGAGCCACTGGATCATGTCGTCTGGGGCATCCTCAGATCCAGGCATGTCCATGTCTCGTAGCCGCTCCTCGAGGATGGGTAGGAGCATTTCCTTCGCCGTCTTGATATCGTTGCGAATCTGGCCCAGTTCCGAAACAAAATGTTGACCAATGGGTCGAGCCCATTCGGGGAAGAGCTGAAGCTTCACACAGGCCGTGAAGACGTGAATAGCAAAGTTGATGGTAGTGTTCATCCACTTCTCATCTCGGCTGATGGAGGGTCCGACAAAGGCTCGGCCACTCATGCGGGCGACGGCGCGGAGGCCAAAGGGCTGCCATTTCACAGGCGTCCAGTCCTCGCAAGCTGGGAACTCAGTAGCAAGAATGTATTCCAACTCTTGCTTCAACTGAGGCATGACTCGGGTGAGATTCTGCGTCAGCTTTGTCCGCACCAACAGCGCGAGCATGTCGCCATTGTGGCCGGGTGTAAACTTGGTGTACTTGGTTTGGAGAGCCTGTTGGGGGATAAGTATTCGTTATGACATGATTGGATTGGGGTAAGTATTACATCTGATACGGCTTCGGTGGCACTCAGGACATCCTCTGGTAGCACCTTGAGCTCACCAACGAGTCGTGCTGGTACCAATACTTGTACTCCCTCGGTGGCCTTGATCTGGTATACTCGATCGCGAAACTAACACAGTATAAGCACGTGTGGTGTAACATCAAAGTCTTGTCCAACCAACCTTTGTGTAACTATCCTTGATCAACGTCTCGGCATCAAAGATCCATTTCGTCTTGGGGGCTTTGTAGAAGGGGAACTCTAGTTCCAAAGGTTTTCTTCTTGACCGTATTAACCAGACGGCTAGAAGGACGATGGCGATAGTGATGTAATAGCTGGCACGCTTCCCTCCAGTGACAACTTGAGGTAATTGGACATCGACGCTTATGGGTGAAGCGAGGAGGCTCGACACGTTTTCCATGACGGTCGACGACATGGAGGGAAATCGAGTAGTGATGGATAAAAAGAGCAATGGATCCGTGGAAATCAAGGACCCTTCGAGATTTGGCGTTTTCTAAATTGACAAAGTAATCCGTGGTCGTAGCGGGTTATAAGTCGTCTCCGTATCCGACAACAGGGCAGGGCCGTGTCGTGTATTAGACCGTGTCTCTGCAGCGTCGGGAAAGGACCCTAGTGAAACCCAATGATTCGTCAAGGATCGACCGGTTCGGCGAGACTCGTGGCTAATAACACAGCACGAGACAGAAAAATACCCGATCCCAATCGGAGAGAAGGATCGAGTTGGTTGTGGAGGGCAGGGCTGAAAGGGTAGAGGTAGAACAACTGCACCAAGCTGTACAGATGACCTCAAGTTACATCACGGGAGCCATCAAGTGCGCGAGGGACGGCCTGCTTTTTGAGACCAACCTGTAGGAGGCTTCGATGCTCCGAAGCACGCTCCATGCTGACGGAGGATTCGTTGGAGGACCGTCTGTGTAGTGCCGTCTGAAACAAATTGGTTCCCAGAACAGCGCTCGGGATGTGCCACCTCCGGATCTTAGCCTGCCGCTGGGGTACAGGTAGCGTGTGAACATGGTACCATGGCGTACAAAGTACATGCAGGATTGCCCGCCCTATTTACGACGATCTTGATTGTCAATGGAATGGAAGATGGGATTGATGGACAGTTATCTTGACGAGATGCGTTAGACGGGTGAGAAAAAGCCATGCTTTTCGTTAGACGGAAGGCGATCTGCTTACACATCGGCACCTGCCCTGGCATCACCAAGTGCCGTTTTCAGAGGAAGGAGCGACCCCGAAGGACAAAAACTTCACCAAGTGCATCTAGAAAATCACCAGAATTATCCAAGAAACACCAACAGACGCCTCACCGACTTCAATATGCACAGACTGGTCAAGATCAATGTCGGTAACATGGCAATCCTTCAGCGCAAATCCGTATTTGGTGCCAATCGCGAATTCCTCCAACTGCCCTCTAGTCTCTCGGATGTCAGGCCTTCCATTCACTAGCGCCATTGTCCAGCAGCGGAAACATCGTCTTCCGTCAGAGGTCTGCGCGTCTGGGACATTTGGATCTGCCCTGCGACCAACGACAGGCCGCACAGCTCCTGATTACCACCTCTGACCCCTCAGCTTGCGGGCTTGTGCGCCTTCAACGCTCCAGCCAGCCATTCGGTTGGCTCTCCTCCTAGAACCCCTCGGCAGTGCGGCAGCCCCAAGCCTCAGACATGAGACTCAATCCAGCTCCTTGCAGGATCCATTGCGACGCATCGAACGCAACAAGTTTCTGGCGCCCACTGTTACCGCAATCACTCCTGAATCACCCTTCAGGAGCTTGCCGTTGTCAGCAGTTACTGTTCGAGGGCCGATGGCATTTACATCATGGTTGCCCACCGACATAAGCAACAACGTCACCAGATGGCAAGCGTCTAGTCCAATATTTGATTCAACTTGAAAACTCTGCCCCGGATACCAAATGCCAGCTGTCTCAGTCCGTGTTGAGAGAGGTCCAGACCTAAGCCCCAAACCTCACCGCTCGAGTTTTTCCACTTCCTGTCGGGCCACCATCACGAGAGGCTCGTTTGATTAGCCTTATCACACGTATGCTTCATGAACATAAGCTTAGATGCCTTATGATCATCAAGTGCCGATTGCCGACAAGTTTTTCAGGGCGGCATTTCAAGGCCTCAAATTCTGGCCATAGGCGAGGTTTCAGTATCGAAGAACAGACACAGTCGGTTTTGGCCACTCACCTTCACCATTTCCTGCCAGTTCTCGTATCAGACAGTCAACAAGTCTGATGCCTTCTCAAATTCAAATGCTAGCTGCAGCAAGCCCCATCAACTCAGGTTACACAACCCAGGCGAACAACGCTGAACGGTTCGCCCGCTTGGCATGACTATTCCACGATCCGATCCGTTCTCATCCCGCTGTACCCCCACACGGTTCCTGGCACATCTGCAGTTTCAACCCAAAGCAATCTTCAGACACCAATCATATCTGCTAATGCTTACCCCAGACGCCCGTTGTTGAAAAAGTTTTCGCATCATGCTCGGGGAACCCTGCTATCAAAGATCCTCTGAGCCTCCTCTTTGGCTGACTTGAGTTCATAATCACCTGTGTCTGCCTTGCCAGGCGATGGCACCACCTCAAGAAAGGCAACCAAGCCAACGTATGTCGACTGCAAGGCCAGTCGGGCGGTGCTTGGCTGCGTTGCGAGGATGATCGACACTGAAAAAAAACGAGAGGGAACCAGCTGCAGAGTGCAAATTTTTCTCTTTCCTTCAGGGGCTGTGATAATCGAGGTGGCTGTTATCATTGCCTGAGTGTTGGGGATGGCGAATTTATATGTGAGAACATGCACCTCTGCATGTGTCTTGCCAACTTCATTTCCAGATCTCTTCTTTATTCTCTCGATGTCACTTGACTTGCCCATTCCTTATCCAAACTTTGAAAATGTCGGATTTCCAGGGGCTTGGTGCGAAGTTCGAAGAGCCAGATGCCCAGGGCTTCCAGAGCTCTGTGACTGGTAGCACTTCAAGTCCAAGTCCATTTGTGGTAAGACTGTGAGCATCTGTATTTTCTCGCCTCTCACTCGAGCAGCAGGCTTCCGATGCATCCTCGCACACTTCGCTATCCCTCACTTCCAACGTCTGTCTTCCTGCTCCCGCGACGCACGATACAACAAGATCGCAGCATCACATGGACCACCTTGAACGCTTTGTTCAAGATCTCCAATCGGTAATGGCAGTTTTGTGTTCAAGAAAAGTGGATTACTTACATGTATCAGTCCGCGAAGAGGGCGTTTCCCAACTCTGCGTATTCTCGATACAAGGAGGTCGAAGTGCTGTTGATTCGATGGGAGGAAGACGAACTCGAAGTGGAATGGGAACTCAACGAGCTACACAAGATCTTCCGTGACCTGTATGGGTTCTCGACTGAGCAGTTTCTCATTCCAAGTCAAAACTCCCATCGGAAACTCAACCTCAAAGCTTTAAGTTTCGTTGAAGAGCACGAGAACGAAGACACTCTTTTGATCGTATACTATGGTGGACATGGAGTCATCAACAAAGCCAGACAGTCAACCTGGTCTTGGTAAGAACAAAATTCGTCATCGATTTCAAGGGCTCACTAGTGTATAGCAAACAGGACAAGACTTACGCAACGGTAGAATGGTCTGCCATTCAGACCTTGTTCGAAATGGCAAAATGCGACGTCCTCCTGCTCCTCGACTGCTGTGCTGGTGCCAGTGCGGCTCCGCTTACTGAGCGGCCGACCAACATCAAGGAAACAATCGCAGCTTGTGGGTTCGAAACATGGACACCACGCCCCGGGGCGCAGTCGTTCACTCATACATTGATCGAAGTGATGAAGGAGTGGGCCTCTCAACTCCCTTTCTCCGCCGCCATGCTGCATAGCGAGATCCTGACTCGACTCAAACATGCGCCGCCTCACCGGTCATCTCAGGGAGCATTGGTTGAGTCGAGGAAAACACCAGCTTACATCGTCTCAACGCCCGACCCACATACAGCCTCCATCACCCTTGGCCGCATGTTTGAAGAAGAGTCTTATTCTCTCTCATCGTCTCGGGCCGTACCCGGATCCATTCCCGGAAACCTCTCAGAGAAGGTGCAGTCAGACAGTTACGTCTCGAGTGAGGACCGCATCCAGGCCCTAATGGCGGTGGACGATAAGGGACAGAGAGCGGCTCCACATGTTCTCCTAACAGTTGCGCTGGAGGAGGACCAGGTGCTCGATGCCGCAAGCTGCGCTCGATGGCTGAAGCAGTTTCCACTTTTGGCAAAGTACGTGAGTGTTGAGGGCGTATATCGCAGTTACTCAACACTTCTGCTGTTGTCTGTGCCCGTCGTTTTGTGGGACTTGCTGCCAGATCATCCAGCAACGCAATTTGTGGGATACGTCAAGTCCCGCAACCTCGTGCCGAGGGAGGTGATGCATGACCGGGCAGCCACGCCAATCCCTATTACCAAATACTCGGCTCGAGACCAGGCAGTCGATCCCTTTGATTGCGTTTCTCCGCTGAAATCGACCTCGGGATTGAGCAGCCTTGATTCCGGATACGACTCAAGTATTCCGCGGCCAGCAACGCTGGCAGCATTGAGACGTACCCGGCAAACAACGGATGGCATGGTTGGTTCTCTGGCTAGCCAGGTACTAGCGGGTAACAGACGAAACAAGCTGTCATCAACGGAACTTCTAGGCCCGGATCGACCAACCTCGGTGCCAGCCAACACAGGTTCGGGCTTACAGCAGGGGCTTGTGTCGACCAGCCAAAGACCAAAGCGTCTGATCGTGTCTGTTAGGGAAGCAGACTTTGATGACGACAAACTGGGCGTGACCTGCGTGCTTTGTTACGGGCACAATGTCCAGCGAAGTCAGTTTGTGAGGAGGGCGACGTCAAAGCCGATCTGGTGAGTCAATTAAGTTGAGGATGCCGAGTCGCTCGGACGGTGGAGGTCCCCAGTTCTGAATTGTCATTTCTGCTGGATCGGACTGGAGCCGGTTGCCCTACCACCCTGGCTCTTCTGGAAGATTGAATGGCACATGGTTACTAATGTTGGTCTAGGAACGAAGAGTTCCGCTTTGAAGTGCACAACTCACCAATGTTCTATCACATGAGGCTCTCGGTGTGGGGAGACCAGATGCTAGAGCTCATTGGTGAACTGCACATTGACCTTTGTGAGTTGGTGCTAAAAGGCCAGCTTCCGGACCTGGATGAATGGCAGAGCCTATGGCGCGATGGAAAGAAAACGGGGTCGATCCGCATCAGGTTACAATACCTAGACGTGAGCGAGGATGAGGAGCGACAGGCGGCAGAGACCAAGGCGACGGCGGCGCAACGGCACCAACAGCGACAATGGCTGGAACGGCAACAGAGCGATGACGGGCAAGCTCGGGTGCAGCAGATGGATTTTCAGGTCTGGTAAGGGGCAACAAGACGGCGTCTGCGATGACAGGGAGCCAAGAAGCGGTGGCTCAGGTCCGGTTTGCTCAACGCCGTGGCTTTTGACCAGGGAGGATTCAAGGAAGAAAAGAGTACATGGTTGGTACACAAAGGGTCCCACAAAAAGACAGAACTCAAGCGATCGAATCGCTGCACTAGGGGAATTTGTTGACAGGAGACACCCCTGCCTGGCAAAGGGGTCGGTACTTGGAGGAGCCGCGCCGTCTCTCCACAAAAGAAAAATTCCATCCATCTTATCAGATCGTGGCTTACTGCCTAACCCATGGGCCTGGGCCGGGACTGAGGCCGGTGTTGTTTTTCTGTGGGACTTGTCGAGGGTGTTGAAAAAGGCAGTCAATTTCGGATATCCTTGTTCAAACAGACGGCGGTCTCGGACGACGTAACACTGAGCTTGTCGGTGAAAGGGATCCTTGAAGCTGACTGACCCTGGGCTGGGTAACAGGTAAATCAGGGAGGCGCAGAGATGACACAGGCCAACTCACACAAGCAGCGTTGAAAGGTGTTATCTGACTGCATTCCCCGGATGCGATACTCTCCAATACCGCGCCCCTAACAACGCACCTGCAGCATGGCTGTATGCAGAGTTGCAGAAGCGCCGGCGAGGCAACTCAACAGGCTGTGGGCTCTCGAGACCAAAAGGAAATGCTGGGCGAGAAAATCCCAGACGAGTCACGGTGAGGCAGGTTCCGAGATCGGTGGGCCTAGACTACGTGTCCCTACTGTACGGGGATCGTCGTCATTAATAGGTTGCAGCTCATCATCCAGCCAGCAGAAACAGGGAGGAGGTCCGAGATTAGATTGGATTGATAAGATTTTTTCAGTCTTTGCATCTGATAAAACAATTGGGTGGTCAAGGCTGAGGGAGACGAGTCAATTGAGGCATGCGATTGGTCGAGACCCACCTACTAGAACCCTAGGGAAAGAGGAAAGAACTCCCGGGCGCTGGCGATGGGGCAAGCGCAAAAGAAAAGCTGACCCTGACCCAAAGGGGGGTGTGGACGAGATGGATGCCAACAAGAACAAGGCTCCGCCCGTTTTGTATTGGAGCTTGCGACTTGATTACGGGGATGTCCCCAGCGGCTTCGTTTTTGAGTCGTCTGCCAAGAATTGGGTCCTCGGGTTGCTCAATCCCGAATCTTTTCCACAGCTCGGCGCACATTTCGGTCAGTTGGAGACGACAAGACTTTAGGTCTCGGAGATACTCTTCTTTGTGTGTTGCCCAATCGATCTCCGAGCGGCTATCGATACCCAAATCCTTCAGGATGGGTGTCAATGAACAAAGGTACAGAAGGTGAAGCACTTGGCTATGTATCTGGTGAATGATGTTGCACTTGGTCAATGGCAGCATGAGTCCAATAGCCTCGGACGTACTTCACCGCCCGGTTCAGATTCCAAGCTGGGAGGAGTCGAACAGACTACCAAGAACTAGCATGTTAGTTGACATAGTCTCCTGTATGTCATGAAGCAAGGATTGAACTTGTTTCTCATCCGTGTAGCCGGGAGCAGTAAGGTTTGGCGTATTTCGTTTCCTTGCCAGATCCCAACTTGAAATGATTGAAATGAATGGGTGTCAAATCCACAATCATCTTCCGTGGCTGTCCAGCAAGTTTACCGTGGCAGAGGCTTCGGTCTGTGTCGTCTGGGCGCTTAAAGTAATATTCTTCTTTTTTGTCTTGAATAGATACACATTTTCTTTGCATGTGGACTAAGTGCATGCATGTTAGAAGAATTCTAGTACTTGATATTGTCTACCTCGGCTTGTGAGCTTTAGCCAAGTTCTTGTAACATGGTCGCGGATGCGAGCCCATTGGCTTGAAACGGGTGTTGCTCTGCTGCAAGTTAATTATTTGGGTATTATACATGGCACCCATTGGCTCGTTAAATTTGCCTGCATTTCTCTTTTCCTTTTGGCAAATTGATGTGGTGCAGGTGTCGATCACAGGGTTGTTTCCCCAACCGCTAGGCCTGGATGATCCTGGACTTGATAGTGCAGGCCGTGATCTTAGGATTCAACTCCTACTACATTCAAGACTCTAATATGTCAAATCAAGCATGAAATTCAATGGCCTGGGATACATTCATAAGACTAACATCATTACTGCAAGAGTGTCTTGCAAAGTAGGCATATCCGCACCTGTCCATTGGTCTGGAGATAACCTATACCACATCTCTAGGCCACTGGTAACATACCCATCTTGGTCTGCTTCAAACCCCGTCGAGACTGTCCAAATTCTTTAATGGTGTCGCACCAGTTCTATTCACCCTAAGGCATGCATGGACTTGGGGAAGTTACAGCACTGGCCGGTTTACTGGAAGTCCTCAAGGCCCTCCCTCAACCAGGTTAGGAGTGGGCCGAATCGACAACACGGACGAGAGTCCCAGCTTAGCACCTAAGAAACCCCAGCATTGAAACCCTTCAATAGACTCCAAGGTCAAGCTGGCCATCTCTTGCGTGGTATGAGCGATATTATTGTCTGTCTAATGACCTGACGTCTCCCCTTGCAACATTTTACTAATTTACTGTCCCAACGACGAGGTACATTCAGGGAAGCCCTGGCGGCTTTACACAGGAGCATGAATGCATCAGATGCTGACGTGTGGTCGGAAGCGATGCCCGCATCTGTCATGCTCAGAGTGCTTGTAGATGCCCAGCACGTCAAAGATGGGGTAAGGAGGAGAGAACTGCGGCTTTGGGGCAACAATACGGCAAAAGTGACAGGTTCCAGTATCCCACACCAACATGAAGAAGCATCGGCTCGGGTTCGGAAAGCGAAAGGAGGGTGATCAGACGCAGGGCCAGAAACCGAGAGTGGGAGATAGAGAATGCGGGGAGGATGGGTATGGATGGAGGTGGGGGACTTGCGCCGGCAAGGACAGTAGTGCTCGATTCGATGGATTCGAGAGCAAGAGCCGGAGATGCTGGTGCAGAGCCCGCGATACGGAATGTCGCCGTTATCGAAGACCCGCTGGGATTCCCTTTTCCCCGGGGAGCCCGCGGAAAGGCTCGGTTCGGGGACCGGAGCTGATCCGGGCCAAGGCCTTTCTTTCTTTTCCTGGACCCCGGATGGAGACCTGCCTGTCCTGTAGGTAGGTCGCGGCTGTGCCTTTTACACCCATGGATTCATACATGGATAATCTACCCGTTGAATTACATCCCCGTGCCGGTGACGAGACAGTGAGCTGACTTTGACTTTTCCCTTCCTCGCCATTGGGGACTCGGTGAGCGTCAGGGGTAAAAGGATCAAGGGCTTCCGGTTGTTGGGAGCAAAGAAAAGGCCACAATCGCGGGAATAGACGGCGCCTTCGAAAACCGTGAGGCTAGCCGGGACGTGAGACTGCCGCGAGGTGGCCTGACCTGAGCACGCCTTGACTCGGAAACGGACACGGCTAGTGGTCGGTTGATGGACCCGACCGAACCCCTGCGGGTTTTCCCCTTGGAGAGACCATGATGGTGATGGGTGACATGGTGTGTCTGTCCCTTTTTTTTTTTTCTTTTTTCTTCTGGCAGAGCCTCATAGAGAGGACTCGACTCACCGCTGCCCAACAGAACAGGATGAAACCCGTGAAATAAGGAGTCGTCGCCTGCCAATTGATTGATTAATTGACGGCAAGGATTGGTCTCCGAGGGCGCACCGGAACGAGACTCGATTAGCCTGTGCGGCCCACGTGTTGCCTTTTACACAATGAAAGGGAAAATGTTGCTGATACTGCGGGAGGTGTGCGTCTATCTAGCATCGTGTTACAGTGCTGACAACCACGAAATGCTTGAGCTCTGGCGGGCTGCTGGGTTGAAAGACCGTGGCCGATAGCCGGGCGCCTTACTGTGTAGACAGCCCCAGGACAGTGGAGGGCACCGTCCATACCGGTAGCCCGGTTACGGTAAAGCACGTGAATGAAGACTGGTGCAGTGTAGGATCGCTCATCACACTCGGGCGGACCGGGTAGGTACGATTTGCGCATTTTTTTTACTGATGAAAAAAAAGAACTGTTTACTTGGTACTGTAAAATTTTGGACATTGATTGTGGCGGTTAGTGGCGGCGGATATCCCTTTCTTCTGCTGACGGTGGTAGGTCACGTTGTGAGGAAACAACAGAGTTGTCCTGCTGACCAGATGCACAAGAGAAGAGCTAGGAAAGAGAAGCCGAATGGGAGGAGCAATTCCTGTCTGTCTGTGTTGGCAAAACTCCTCCTCGTGAGGACTTCCCGTTCTTCCCCATTTTTGGTGCTGCCTCTCTGATTTGTGGGTACTGCCGAGGGCATGGACCGAAGAGTTTAGCAGGTCATGATTTGTCCTGCCTTGACTGGTCCTACCACAGCAAAAGCGGCGGTCGGTGAGTGGTTGATTGATAAACAGGGTGGCCAATCACATGACGGGAACCTCAGGGCCCGTCCAATGCCCGGTGGCAGAGTGTCCGGTCACTGGATCGGCAAATCATTAGATCATCCGCCGTCATTGAAGGGGGAAAAGAGAAGATTTGCTCGATATGGAAGCAGATAGCAAGCAATACATTGGCGCACAACTCTAAGGCAACAATGTTTGCTTGTGAGAGGGGGGCAGGTTATCCGGAGAATGGAAGGAGAAACCGAGGCGGCTTCCCTTGTCCACGTGCATAGATTGATTAAGTGCCACGATTGATTTGATTCGATTGATTAAGTCATTGATTGATAACGAGATTGCGATAATGACAAGCCGACAAGACTCCTGTCTCGGACACGGACCCCAGGGAGGCGTGTCTGAGAGTCAAATTCCCAACCGCGCGTGTGCGCCCCTTTCTCAATCATCATCAGCAGCAATCCCCAATCAATTACCCATCCTTCACTCATCAGCTTCCATCCTCGATCCCAGCCGTTGGGCATTTGCGCGAATCGTGTGTGTGCGTGGGTCCACATCCACCTTCCCTTCGGTCCAATGTTTCGAGGCGGGCTTGGGGCTGGACCTGGGGCCCGGCTTAGCTGAGCGGAGAAGAGCGACGAATGGTCTTCTCCCCGGAGCCAGGCCAGGTTATGGAGGAGGAGCTCCTCAGTCAGTCATGGAAGGAAAAGCAACAGAGCGAACATGACTCCGCATGAATGCGTGTTGTTGAAGTCGGGCGACAAGGGGAGGGGGTGTCGTCGTCTGCTCCTCGAATTCGGGTTTCTCATTCTTCTCCCTGGTTGAAAAGAAGCAACAGCAACAGCCCTATCCTTGCATGTGCTGTTTGAGTTCTTATTCACAGCTTAGTCGTAACTACAAAGCAGGCAGTGGGCTTTCTTCGGGATTCCGACTGCAGAGTTCAGCCAGCCGAGGTTCAGGAAAAACAATCAAGGCATTCGACCCTGGGCCTTGTCTGCCATATTTTCCACACCTACCCGTGTGTTAATGCCAGCAATAATTAGTGAATACACGGAGAAAAAGGAAAAAATCCTGGCACAGGAGTGCTACCGCAAAGATACCTTTGTTTTTTCCCTTCCCTTCCAGCAAATCCTCGCCCCGTATAGACCCACACCCCCCCCCTTTGACCGACGCACACACCACTCCCTCCAGGAAGCCCCGCCGAATATCCCCAACCTGCATCGGGGCGCGTTCCTTCCATTTTTTATAACCTCCCGCCATCGGCCGGGCTAAGGTATTATTTGAGTCTTTGCCCCCTCCAACCTTCCTTCACTTCCTCCTTCCCACACAAACCTTCAAAACCTTGTTATCGTGCCTACAGGATCTTATCAATCGCATATCCTGTCCTTTTCTCTATTGACTCGTTTTTCATCCTGTCCAGGGCATAGCATCATCCTTGCTGAATTGGGTCCCCTGCGATATGCCCATCAGTTTCTGACGTCGATTCCCACCTCTACCAAGAAAAACCGCCGCCACGATTCTCCCAATTCGACGGGCATACCAATACCTTCACCCGACCCTCAATTCGCTCAACAATCACCTTCTTCGGGCGACCAACACACATCTCTGGCCCATCATGATTGCCACCGCCTCTCCCATCATCCGCATTGACGGCATCGTCAACCCCGCCGCAAACCCCGCCGAGCTGGCTATCACCGAGGGCACTCCCTCAATTGCCCCCTCCCTGACCTACTCGGACGAATCCGATGACCAAGAGGATGAGCCCGTCATCCCCCTCGAGCGCCGCCGCCGCGCATCTACACGCCTGATTGCCCAGAACGCCCGTGACATCCAGCGAATCACTGGAGAGTCGAGGGCCGAGTTTGTGGGACGCTGCTGTGGCGGCGCCTGCTGCATGGGTGACAGGGCCAACGTCGAGTATGAGGACGTTCCCCTGCCTGACAACGATGCCTACAAGTCTCTTGGACTTCGACTTGGAAACATTCCCGCTCATTTGACTGGTGTCATTGAGATGCCTGAGAAGACTGTTTCTTTCACCTCAATTCCCAGACCAGTCTCTTCTCCCACCGACTCGGCCATCTCCCTCGGCTCTGACACTGAGCCATCTTCCCCCACCACCAAGTTCCTCACCCCCGGACCTGGCTATGAGGCCGTCGATACCACAATTCAGCCTCCTCAATTCGTTCAACCTCATCCTCCTCACCATGTCTACCCTGCCAAGATCCACAACACTCGCGAGTTGACCGGACCTGGTGCTGAGAAGCGCACCTACCACTTCGACCTTGACATCACCGACTACCCTCCTGAAGAGGTTTTCGACTTCAGAGTCGGTGGTGCCATTGGTGTCATGGCGCCTAACGATGAGATCTCGGTCGATGAGATCCTTGACACTCTCATGATTCCTCGCTTCCAGCGAGACAAGCCCGTTCTCATGAAGACCACCAAGGGTCGCTGGCCTACCGTCTGGGGTGACGAGAAGGCTCGTGAGCTCGTCACCACCCGCCGTGAGCTCCTCACTTGGACCACCGACATTCAGTCATATGCCCCAACCAAGGAGCTTCTCCGCATCATTGCTGAGCACGCCTCGGCTGCCAATGAGAAGAAGATCCTCATGTACCTCTGCTCGAACGAGGGAGCTAGCATCTTCTCTGACTTCCGCGGTGGTCCCCACGTCACCCTCTCCCAGATCCTCAACGCTTTCCCCAGCTCTCACCCTCCTCTGGACGAACTCCTCTCGATCCAGCCTCAGCTCATGCCCCGATTCTACTCTCTATCCAATGACCCCACAGAGTCGTACGCCCTTCGTGATCACTCTCAGCGCCGCCTGATTGAGATTGCCGTCACTGTCCATGACTCTATGGACTGGCGACGTGGTTGCCGTGCTGGTGTCGGCTCCGGCTTCTTTGAGCGTCAGGCTCACAAGTTTATGCGAGCCCAGGCTGCCGGTGAGAAGGCTCCTCAGGTCTTCATCCCCATGTTCAAGGGTTTGATGGCGAACCCCCTGGCCAAGCAGTTCAACTCTGACGGCCCCATGCTTCTGATCGGTGCTGGTGTTGGCATTGCTCCCTTCCGAGGCTTTGTCCAGCGTCGTCTGAAGCAGGCAAACTGCGCCAACAAGGTCTGGGTCCTCCAGGGCATTCGTGACTCACTCGTGGACGAGATCTACAACGGCGAGTGGGGTGTCCACGAAGAGGAGGTCAAGCGCGTTGTGCAGAGCCGAGTCGGTACTGGCAAGTACGTGCAGGAGGAGGTGCGAAACCAGGCCGACCTCGTCTGGTACATCATCAACAACTCCATCGACGGCCGCATCTTTGTTTGCGGTAGCAGCAAGGGCATGGGTGAGGGTGTTGAGGAGGCCCTCTGCGACGTCGCCATGGAGAAGGGTAACCTCGAGCGCGAGGAGGCTCACAAGTTCTGGCAACTCAAGAAGGATGAAGGCAGATACATTGCCGAGACATGGTAGATGTGTGCCTATTGAGGTGGAAATGACGACGACGAAACGATCAAAAGAAACTCGAAAGGTTGTATTGACGGGTGGACAAAACTTGTGTTTTCTACGCGAGGGGATGAGCATTGTACGAGAGGAGGGACATGAGCCGACGCATTCTAGATGGCCGCGGCGCAAGCAAGAGGGATAAGCATTCTGCATTTTGAGATGAGAGGAGCATTGGGAACATTGGAACAAGGCGTTGAGAGGTTGAAGCATTTTATATGGTTTTTGTTGTTATTGTCTGTTGAGCGAAGGAAGAAGCCCATGGGCACCTCGCAAGTGGACGGGTTTCTTGTATGGAAAATACCCCAGCGGCGATTTGAGACGGACCATGACCATTAAGGACTTGCTCTGTCCAGGCTGGGAAGTTGAGTTGAATGATATATATCTGTTCACTATATTGGCTCTTGTGTGATGTTGAGGCGTATTATGTGATTGGTTGGGTTTGGTGATGGTAGATATTTCACTCAGCCGTACGAGTAACTCGATATTATTATTTCCTCGTACATGATTGGCATCGCATATTTTGACAGCATGCAATACGCTGTAGATCCATTAATGTGGAATATCACTTTGGAAGCACACCTCTGCGTCTCTTTCAAAGTACGTACTCCGTCGCTGACACTTTGGAATCACTCCGCATTATCACACTTGGCACATCAGATGGGGGACAATGACGCGCAGGAGAGCTGAAACGAAACAAGACAAGCCGTATCCGTTTCCGGGTCTAGCTCTCACGTGTTAGTTCAGCCCTGTAATAGCTAACGTTGATTTACGTGAGCGAGGTACATACATAATCAGCGTCTTCTTGTTATCAATCATTGCGAGCTCCCGCGCGCGGTTTCACGATAAATCAGAAACTGGAGGGGTAGAGGATAAGGTACGTATCTCTCCGTGGGGCCGACCCGCTCTGAATCAGCGGCATGTAATCGACATGGCACCACTTGTCGCGCAGAGCACGTGCGCGCCTGTTGGTAGCGAAGCCGAGTTGCCTTTGAAAGGAATTGTAGGGTAGTGTGCATATGGGATCGTATTATGTTGGGGCAAAAGATGGAATAGGTCGTGCCATTGGGGTCAAGAGTTGCGAGGTTGGATTTGTACTGTCGGCATTTGAATGGGATATGGTGGGATACTACAGAGATGCGGCATAATGCAAGATACAGCAAGATTCCACAGAGCAACACACCGCTGTATCAACTATTGAAGCCGTAGACATTAATTGTCACAGATCAACCACTCCGAGACGGATAACCCGTCGAATGGCAACAGCTCTTTCCATCTATTTCCGCAATTCCGAGATTTCACTCTCATGTCTAGGGTAACGACCGGAACTCTAACCCGATTCGGAACAATACATCCGCATTTCTCGCTGATCAATCCTGACACAAGCGGCCGGGAGCCCCACTCCATCGCCGGTTCGATACAGAATTTTACGGCGGCGGGCGGTAGGCAAAACGGAGCCTGTCTACACTCCGGGCAATGGACCCGCGCTAGCCATGACAAACCAAGGGCCGAGTAACCGCGCGCGACGCTCGCAATTCTCCCGAGACCTGCATTAGTCAGGTCTTTGCAAAGATGTCTCGGTGGGGTCTCTGCTTTGCGACATTCCGTCAGGGTCTTGATGTGTTGTGACATTTGGCGGGGCAGGAGGAGGGGTTTGTTGGTGAACGAGTCGGTGGAGAGATTGGTATATATTCGACGTGCTTTCCTCTTGAATTGCTTCTCTTTTTCCTTCCCGACAGACTCATTCAACTTTTACAGCTTCTATACAGCTTCCAACTCCAACTTCTCTACTTACACCTTCAACTCCAACCACAAAACAACCTTCACAATGGCTGCCAAGCTCTCCGCCGACCTCCTCCTCCAGCTGGCCAAGAACCGCCGCACCTACTACGCCCTCTCCAAGGACCTCCCCGTGACTGCCCAGCGCATCCAGGAGATTGTCAAGGAGACCACCCTCCAGACCCCCTCGGCCTTCAACTCCCAGACCAACCGTCTCGTCGTCCTCTTCGGTGCCGAGCACGATAAGCTCTGGGACATCACCTCCGACTCCCTCAAGGCCATCGTCCCCCCCGAGGCCTGGGAGAACACCGCCACCCGCATCGCCGGCTTCAAGGGCGCTGCTGGAACCGTCCTCTTCTTCACCGACGTCACCGTCCAGGAGAGCTTCCAGGCCAAGTTTGCCATCTACGCCGACCGCTTCCCCCCTTGGGCCCAGCAGACCAACGCCATCCAGCAGTACCTCCTCTGGACTGCTCTCGAGGCCGAGGGTCTTGGCGCCAACCTCCAGCACTACAACCCTCTTATTGATGAGAAGGTCGCCGAGACCTGGAAGCTCCCCGCCACCTGGCAGCTCAACGCCCAGCTCGTCTTCGGCGCCAAGGCCGGCGAGGCTGGTGAGAAGGAGTATGCTCCTGTTGAGGAGCGTGTCAAGGTCTTTGGTGCCTGAACACGCCCGGGCCAGAAGCTATGATTAATCATGGGAAAGCGTTTTTGGAATTGCATTTAGCGGTAGACTACTAGAAGCTTGAAATGAGCCGGCATTGCATAGTCTAGACTTGACGAATAAACTATTAAGAACTATATATCTGTTTTGAACGTGATGTCCATCAATCAACAACTTCAATTCATCCTCGAATCATTAGGAGTTATCTGTCTTACTATTGAGCTTGCAACTAGCTGTTACCAGATTGCTACCAATTAGCTCTCATTACTCCCGTCGACCATAAGCACTTATTCACAAACAATTAGCTTGGCACCAAATTGTAATACAATTATACATTTCTAGATATCCAATGCTGACATTATGTGCCGCTTTTTACTTTTGTTTATACAATGTCTCACTCAATCACTCGTCCTAATGCTTGGCCCATCTTGACCGTCTGTCCCTTCTCTACAGCCCATGCCCAGCCTCTTCGCTCCTTGTTCTCATCCGTCTTTTCTGCCGGCGCCTCAAATACTAGTACAACCGTGCTCCCCAATTGGAAACCACCCATCTCCTCACCACGTCGGAGTGCGTGGCCTCGGAGAACGGGACTGGCTGACTCGTAAGTTGCCTCAGCAAAGCCCAGATAGGGCTCACCACGCTTGGCCGCCTCCTCAGCTGCCCGATCGGCAGCCGTGTCCGTCAACAGGCTGTTTGTCCGTAGCTCCTTGTCAAAGTTGATGATAATGGAACCCACATTGGTCGCACCGACTGGGACGTAGCTGAAGAAACCCCAGCGCCACCGACCCAGAAGCACCACACGTTCGTTGAGAGTGAAGAGACCAGGGAGGGTTCGCTGAAGATAAGGGGACACGCTGTACAGTTCTCCGGCAAAGTGACGGCGTCGGTCAACAACCCAGTTGGTGGGAGAGTGAAATCGGTGGTAGTCGCCAGGAGCCAAGTAGATGACTGCATAATAGAGAGAGGTTGCCTTGTCGTGGGAGAGCATATCGTACCAGGGCCGCTCACCTAGCGCAAGCTCAGCCCGAACCTCGGACTCTACACCAGGAGATGCGGGCATAGCCTGGTCCTTGTCTGAAGGACCCTGCTTTCCAGCACCAGAAAGAAGGTCAGGCAGTGTGTACGCGATTCCATTGACCTGGGCAAACTCTTCATCCTGCTTCACAAGTTCTTCGCTGCCCGAAATTTCGGTGAGTGTTCGTTCGTCGTCTGAAGATGACAGGCTCGAGATGCTGGGGGCAGGTGTGTTCTTTCCGAGGAGAGCGTCGATGCTATACGTCATACCCTTGACCTGCTCAATGTCACCGCCTTCGATTTGGCCAAACTGAAGAACCTTTCCGTCGGACGGGCAGAGCAGGGTGTGGGGGTTAGGATCGAGAGGACGAGCACCGGGCTTGAGACGACGGTAAAAGAAGGATGCGAGATTGGGATATACGTGGAGGTCGGGTTCGGCAACTTCGTCGAGGCTGTACACGTCAGTATAAGTTCTGTGCATATGGGCCGATTTGGGAGACCGACTTTACACCAAAGACGAGCGAATAAAGCTTGAAGCCGGGAACTCGAAGATAGTAAGGAAGGGTCAATTCATTGAACCTGCCCCAAAGCCTGGAGATGGCCTTGAGAGGCAGAGTCGACATGACCTGGACTTGCCTGGAGTCGAATTAGCATTGAGGGCATCATGGTGGGATAGGGGCGGTGATGGGAATTGCGTACCAAGGACCGTCAGGACGCACCCTAGGCCGCCTCCTGGGGGCTTTGGTACTCTCCTGGCCATCTTCAATCTCTCGACGCTCCTTCTCCCTGGAAGAAACCTTATAGAACTGGACGAGGCCTAGAAATCCGATACCCAGACCGACAGGGATCCGGTACCATTGGATTTTGGTGTTTCGCATGGCCTCGCCGAGGCGTTGTGAAAATCTCGGTCTCTTGCCCGAATTGGAGGCAAAGGTGCGGAAGGAGGATAGTGAGGGCCTTGGCAGGCATCGCGACCTTGTCGTCGAGTTGAGAAACATGTGTCGAGAGGCAGACGGTGAGAAGCAGTTTGCGCAGCGAGAGCGCGCGTAGAACGAGCAGCGGAGCATGTGACTGCCGACCTGGGAGGAGCCAGGCCCAAGGGTTGGTGCCATGGCGGCGGCGAGCGAACGGACGGATCCCGTTCTTTAATTGCACGCTTTGATTGCGCTGCGCAATGCGCGATGGGGGTTGATAAGGGGAACAAAAGGCCCTCTTCTAGATGGACTCAGGATTGACGTCAAGAGGACGATGACGATGACGCTGAGTTGAGGCTGTTCCTGTTCAGCCGTTAGCCGCACCCTCAGCTTTGTCTCGTGGGTGGGCGGGCTGCAGCGTCGGATGCAAGAGGCGCCGATACCGAGGGAGGAGTTGAGCTCTCACTCAAACGTTGGACTTTGGTAAAGCGGGAGACGGAAGGAAGGGACGAGCACAAACGGGCAGGACCGCAGGGGCCGATCCAAGACCGGACCAATCATATGCCCGCCCTATCAACATGAAGGTGGCCAGAGCTCAGAAGCGACTGCACAGAAGGACAGAAAGAACACCTAAAAAAAAAAGGTACGTACCGACACCGCAACGGGCAGTTTGTGGCCTAGGTTGAGTGCCTGTCGCAGGTTGGATCCATTACAAGGCCCCAAAAGGCCACCTACCCTGACCACCGACGTCCGTCCATGTTGATGAACGGGGGGAGTATCACATCTTTCACCTCTCTTTTCTTCTTTCATCGATTTTATCGCCTCTCTAGGGGCATATATCGATTCTCTGGCACTTGCTTCAGCTTCGCCTCACTCCTTTTTCGCGCCCTTATCCAATATACCCCATTGCTTTTGTATCCGTCTCCAGATTGTTGGACATGCGACCCGACCCGTGTTAGTAAGACGATACCTCTGCGACCCGACGTCAGTCAACAAGTCGGTGCTTTTTCTCAACCAAGCTTGACGCGAACACCTTCATACGTAGCCGTATCCGCTGCCGCAGCCACTGCAAGGGCGGGGACTGCAAGCACCCAACTCTCGATAACCGAATTATCCATCTCCTTGCTTCATCTCCATCATCCCTGATCCTTCAACTCTTCGCCCCCGAGCTCTTCCTCCCCGTGCTTACCAACCCCGAAGCTATAGCCTGGTGTGGCATGCTCGCAGCTTGCCCATCATGGCTTCCAAGCCCCCCACTGCTCGTCCCAACGACGAGGGACCGGATGATGCCTCCTCGGGCTCCTCAGTAGACGACCAGACCGTCAACCTGCAGGTCGTCTCGCCTTCGGTCGGCGTGAATCGACCTTTGCTGTTCCCCGGTATCGCTGCCAACACGACCGTTAAGCAACTCAAGGAAAGGATTCGCCAGACTCTCCCTTTGCGACCTTCGGACGAACATCAGCGACTCATTCATCGTGGACGTGCTATTGTTCGCGAGTCAGATACCTTGTTGGACATCTTCGGTGCCGATGCGGTAAGTTGCTTCGATACCGGACTTCAATTGCCCCCATCTACACTTTTACTAACTGGCACCTCGCCTTTACAGCTCCGTACCCCCGAACAACAGACCATTCATCTTGTCATTAGGGATACCCGAGATAGTCAATCATCTACTCCGACAGTGCCTCCCGTCACCGCTCCCGCTTCCGCTCCCGCTCCAGCTCCAGCTCCAGCTCGCGGCCCCAGCCCAACTGCTTCCGCTCCCCCAACAAACGTCCCCCGCCAGCATGTTCAACATGCCCACGGCCATGCCTTTGGATACCAGACTGCGCCAGGTTTCACTTGGAGACATTCGATGCCTCCAACCTCCAACCCGTTTCCTCAGCCGCGCATGCCGTCACCGTCACCGTCCCATACGCCCGAGCAAGCCGCCGCCTTTCAACATCATCACCAGAACATGACTCAGTGGTTGAACAATATTCAGCGAGAGGCTATGGCGAGGGCATTGAATCAGAATCAGCGGACTAGAGCTCAGATGGGCATGCGCGGCGTTGGGGACACCGCGGCTGGGAATGCTCCTGCAGGCGACAATAGCGGTCGAGCAAGCCCTGCTCCAGGTCACACCATTTACCGCGAACATGTAGGACCCAACGGACACACTTACCAAGTTGAGACTGTCGTTCGCACCCCGGGGCAAGGCAATGCAAGTGGAGCTATGTCTCCGGCAGATGTTCAGAATATCATTCGGACTGCCGATGTCAATCAAGCAACACTGGCAATGACGAGCGCGATGCAGCGCAGCGCTTCAAGCACTTCTCTTTACAACCGTTCTCTGGCACAACCTGGTGTGACCACGCCAGCCTACCCTACCCCCAGCTCAATGGCTGGCAGCGGAAGAGGAACTCCGGACCACTCGGCTGCTCGACTCACCACCGCTGGGGCTCCTGGAAGCTCCCAGTCAAGACCAGGTTCTGAAGTATACATCCTGTCATCGCCTGAAGGACCACGAGCATTGCTCTTTAACAACACGGGGGCTGAAACTTACTATACGCCGCGACTTCGAGGCCAAGCAAGTTTCCCGCAACTTCGAACCACTCCTACTCTTGGCACCTCGATTAACGATCTTCACAATCAGATGCGGGCTAGGCACCATCACCACCATCATCACCATCATCTGCGTCCTCAGACGGTACCACAGCCGCTGTCCCAAATTCAGCCTCAAGTACCGCCTCAACCCCAGCTGCAGGTTCAACAACAGCAGCAACAGCAATATGCGCCCCCTCAGCAGGACCAAGCACGTCAGGACCAAGGTCAAAACCAGGCACAAGTTCAACAGGACCAAATGGCAGCTGTGGCCCCCTTGATGCATCGTGGCAACCCTCCTGCAGCAGCACTTCCACCTCTGCTAATGCAGCTTTGGCCGCAGATGTGGCTTCTGTTCCGGCTCACCCTATTTGTCTGGTTCTTCACTTCTCCCACTGCAAGCTGGTCGAGATGGTTCACCATCATTACTATTGCAGTGCTCATCTTTGTTATTAGCACAGGTGTTTTGAATGGTGTTCCAGATCATATTTGGCGACCTCTGGGACGGCATCTGGAGAATCTGATTCCCATGGAGCAACCAAGGCGCCCACACGCAGGCCCGCAAGGAGCTCCACAGAGAGGCGGTGACCAGAATGGCCAGGCTCGACAAGAGCCAAACCCAGAGGACATGGCTAGAAGACTAGTGGCACAGCATCAGGGTCCGGAGAGCTGGATTATCTCGCAAGTGAGACGGCTGGAGCGAGCCGGTCTCTTGTTTCTTGCCAGTATCGCCCCGGGTGTTGCAGAGAGACACATTGCCAACCTAGAGGCGGCAGCGCGAGCTGAGAGAGAACGTAGAGAGGCCGAAGCGGCGGCGGCGGCAGCAGCAGCGGAAGCAGCAGCAGCACAGGAGAACGAAAACAACGAAAACCAGGAGGCGACATCAGCTCAAGGAGAAAATGCTGATACGGGAACGGGACAAGGTGGTGAACAGGCAGAGGGGCAGGGAGGTGATGAAATACGTGAAGAACGAGGAGTTCCGGAAAATAATGAGGCGAATGAACCAGTGGTTGAACAGCTTGTCGCGGTCTAGGCACCGGGCGTGTTCCGCTTTGGTTTTGAGAGGAGGGTATGGTAAAAGGGGAACGAATACGGATGAATGCGATGGATGGATTCAAGCGAGATGATGTTGGTATGAGCGGAAAAGTTTAGCATGGGCAGCTTTGCCACGGCAAGCGTCTCAAGGATGGAAGGGTCAGGGAGTTGGGGGTGTTGTGTTTCTCATCTTGGGGTAATATTCTTCAAGGGGTATCATTTTTATTCTTCTTCATTTGCAAGACGCTTTCCTCAGAAGGAAGCTGGGCGCAGGCCCTTGTATTGATTAGCCAGAAGCGACGCAGTCAGATGCGAGCTTTGCTTTGGTATTGTTTGGGTTGATGGTTGAGCTGAGCTGAGCTGAGTTGACTTTTTACGTATTAGACAGTTACCAGCGGTACACTCGACTCTTTGTTCAAGATGGAATACATGGCATTTTATGGTCACTGTCATGTCAACCCCTGTTCCTTGTTAAGAGCTGTCGTCGTCGTAGCTATTGCTGCTGCCTCGAGGGGCGGCTTATCTTATCAGTAGACAAAGTGGCGGATGATATCAGAACGTGGCTGCGAGCTCCGTCTTTGCTCCGAGCTTCAACATTCGTCATTCACCTCGTCAACCTCTACTCAATTTGTCCCGCAACAGGCGATTTGAGCGACTGAGCCTATACTATCCCTTTCATTTCGGTATATAGTTTCCTACCGAGGAATTTCTCATTGGAATCTGCCAGCGCTGGCTTGGAATTACTGGTCACCGCTAGGCCTGTCGCAATCATGAGTGGTGGATGGAACACCAGTCAGTACTTTCCTTGCCTCGTATGCTGAACGTTGGGCTAACCTGAACCTCTACAGTCGAGTCCGATGCGGTATGACATATATTTATCTCCTAGACGTGTACCAGAGCTGACTGAAAGCTTCTAGGGTGTCTTCACCTCGCTCATCGAAAATCTCGGCGTCAAAGACGTCCAGTTCGAAGAACTCCTAACACTCGACCCCTCCGAGCTCCTCACCCTCCAGCCTGTCTACGGCGTCATCTTCCTGTTCAAGTACCCGACCGACCAGCCCTATGCGACACCAGAGGGCCCCCGTGACGGCTCCTTTGACCACTCGGCCTCGGAGAATATCTTTTTCGCTGCCCAGACGATCCAGAATGCGTGCGCCACGCAAGCGTTGCTGAGTGTGCTGCTCAACAAGACGGACGACGTCGAGATTGGCGAGAAGCTGGGCGAGTTTAGAGAGTTTACTATGGTGCTTCCGCCCGAGTTCCGTGGTGAGGCCCTTAGTAACTCGGACCTCATTCGTGAGGTGCACAACAGCTTCGCCCGTAGCAGTCCCTTTGCCGACGAGACGGACAAGACGGGCGCTGAAGCTGAGGATGCGTTCCACTTTATTGCCTATACACCCATCAACGGGACCCTGTACGAACTGGATGGCCTTCAACCGGCTCCCATCTCGCACGGTGCCTGTACATCGGACAACTTTGCCAGCCGCATGGTCGAAGTGCTACAGCGCCGTATCGCCCGCTATGATGCTACTGAGATTCGCTTCAACCTCCTTGCCATGTGTCGGGACCTGCGACAGCGCGCACGTGACTTTGGCGACGAGGAGTTGCTGGCACGAGAAGAGCGCAAGCGACGAGACTGGGCATTTGAGAATGCGCTGCGGAGACACAACTTTGTGGGCTTTGCGGGCGAGGTTCTCAAGGGGGTTGTGCGAGGCAAGATCGCTGAGGGAGGTGATGAGGCTTGTGAGAAGTGGGTGAAGGAGAGTCTGGAGAGAAGAAAAAATGCCGAGCAGGCCCTGAGAGGCCGAGGAGGAGGAGGCGGTGATGGCGACGGTGATGTTGATATGGGAGTTTAAGTGATGGCAATGAGGATTAAGATACCATGTCTCGCGGCCGGCGAAGGGCAAGCTAGAGCTTTCTGATACCACTGTCCATGATGTATGTTTTAAGGGCTGACGCGGTGCTTCTTAGACGCAAAGAAACAGGGAGTTGTACGGATCATGACACTTGAGCACAGCATTCAACAAGGCGTACATGATTTTGATTTCTCATTTCTAAACTAGTTACATTGCTACACGGCATCTATCAACCCCGTCAGTCGTCTCATCTCATCTAGCTCTCTGTCTCTGGTGTATCGTCTGTCTCTCTATCTGAGTGGATTCTATTCCATTGACATGACGACACCTTCTTCCGAGCTGTTCAACAGCTTGTATATATCATCATTATGCAGAGTAAAAACTGCCTCTCACAAAGCCAAAATGAGATGTAGCCTCTCCTGAAACGACCGCTTACATAGGTAGATGCGAAGGACATACGAGTATGATGCTAGTTCACCCAGTGGGCAGGAGGAGAAGCGGGGCGTCCAGTCTTGGTGATGGTCTCTTCCTTGTCCGAGGAGACGGCGGTCTCGGAGCTGCTGTGGCCAGGACGGTCAATGTAGTCCATGGCAATGTCGGATCGGCTCTGACGGTCGTCATCGTCGTCGTCGCTGTCATCATCACTGACACGACGGCGGATGGCGCGAACGAACCAGGGGGCGCGGCCGGATCCCTTCCAGGTCCAGTACTCCTTGAGGTCATACTCGCGGGGCTCGAGCTGACCGCGGGAGAGGAAGACGACGATGGCGATGAGGCCGTTGAGGACGGTGTAGACAAAGACGCCACTGAGAATATTGTTAGCTGGGATCTGATAGGAGGATAGGGGGAGCTTACGCGATGAGACCGTAGGCGACGCTGTAGCTGAAAGGGATAAAGGTCATGACGACAAACGAGGGGAGGACATCGCCGATGTATCGCCAGTTGATCTGGGTGATTTGACGGATCATCATGCAGCCGACCTGGGAGAGTTAGCTGTGTGCACAAGCTCAAGACGAAGTGAACCTACCAAGATGAGGGTACAGCCAGTGGCCCATGGGGGAACAGACGCAAAGATGGGGGCTAAGAACACAGAGACGATGAAGCAAAGTCCGGTGACCATGGCGGTCAGTCCTGTTCTCCCTCCCTCTGCGATGCCGGCGCCACTCTCGATGAAGGCCGTGACAGGGGAACTCCCGAACAATGCGCTGATAGAGATAAAGGCAGCATCAGTGCAGTAGGCGATAGTGGAACGAGGAAAGTCTCCGTTACTGTCCCTCATGACGCCACAGAAACGGACCATGGAGTAGAGAGTCGCAGTGGCATCGATAATGTCGACGTAGAGGAAGGTGAACAGAGCGAGTGCGAACTGAGAGGCCGGAGCTTCAAAGGCCCAGTCGAGCTTGTTGAGAGTCTTTTCCATGGGGTGGAACACGACGATTTGCTTGAAAAAGTCGAAGCGGGAGTCGCCTTCGGGGGTGTGAGGGAAGTAGGTGATGGGGGTGTTGCGGCTGATGAAGGTTAGAGTGTGATGAAGATAATAGGGGAGTGGACTTACGGCCAAGACAGCATGGAGACGAGGGCGATGCCGATGATGAGGGCGTACTTGATGCGGAAGGCCATGAGGAACGCCGTGACGATGCCACCGCAGAAGACAGCGACCCAGAGCTAGTATTGTCAGTATTGGCATTGCTTAGATATAGGGAACAACTCACCTTGGGGTTGGACATTTGACCCCCAGAACACATGCCCGTAACCTCATCAATCATCTCGACAGGACAGCCACCAAGAGCCAACGGGGTAGCCGTCCAACCACCAGTGATGGCACCAATACCCGCAGAGTACGAGAGACCAATCTCGGTGAGGAAGAAACCAATACCAACACCGGTAGCAGTCTTGATGGTAGCGGGTATAAGCTTGACGAGCCACTGTCGCATGCCCGTGAGGGCGAGGAAGACAAAGATGAGACCTTCGACAAAGACGGCGGTGAGAGCGAGACGGTAGGGGATAGGGCCGCTACCGTTGTAGCCGACAACTTGGAAGGTGAAGTAGGCATTGAGACCCATTCCGGGGCTGTGATGGGGTTAGTGCAAGAGATTGAAGGAGATGATAAGAGGAGGCGTACGCGATGGCGACGGGGAGGTTTGTGAGGAGACCAAACATGAAGCTTGCCATTCCAGCGACGGCGGCGGTAGCAGTGACAAGGTCTCGTCGAACATCTGATGCTTTGTTAATTGTATTCTGCGAAGATCTACTATTAACTTGCCTTCCTTGCAGGCGACGTATTCGTCAATCTTGTCACAGGCCTGTCTGTCGGTCAAGTCGCAGACGCAAGTACCGCCAGTCTGAGAAAGAAGCGCGGCCTTCAATCGTTAGCTTGGATCAGATGTGTAGGTGAAAAGAGACATACGTTGACGGCAATGATGTATGCCATGGTGGCAAAAGTAGTCAAACCAGCGCGAATCTCTCGAAAAAAGGTAGACCCAGCAATCTCGTCGGCCTGAAGAGTTAGACCAGAATTGAGAATAGAGTTGGGATTCTTACGTGACCGCTTCCAGAGAGACGAAAGAAGTAGCCCAGACGAGAGGAACTGATGTAACCGTCGACCTTGTTTAGGAGATCGCGGGCGCCGCAAAAGCGAGAGGTCGAGGGTGCGCCTTGGTCGCGGTTGGCGTCTATCATTCCGTGAGGGGGAGGAGAGGAGGCCATTGTGAGGTTCTTTGTCGGGGTGAATGACCTGAAGGTGAAGAGATTGAAGGATTCTTGATCGTGAAAAGAAAAGAAGAAGGGTGGAAGGGGAAAAGGAGAGAGGCTTGGCTGGTGACGCCAGTAGACGCCGTGGAGAGGATGAGGGTGACACGGGAAGAGTGTGACTCTAGGAAATGAAATGAAATGAAGAAGAGGAGGAAAAAGCAGGTCAGTGAACAAGGGAAGAGGGAAAAGTGCAAGGTGATATGTACCTCGAGTGGCCGACACCTGGCAACCAGCTGCTCCAACTGTCGATGGCCTCGGACTAGACTAGGTAGACAGACGAGGAACCACAGTTACCGAACAAACGGTTCTTGTGTGTAGACAGACTCGAGTGCTTTCTTCGAGTCCAAGTTGCGAGGCACAGGCACGACGTCAAGTTTGCCCTCCAAAGGGGGGGGGGGGGGGGGGGGACATCTCGTGGGAAGAGGTAACTGGGAGTCTTTGTTGGAGTTACAAAGGGGAGGGTGATGTTTCTGCGGGCCGGCTGTGTATCACCATCATGAAGAGGATAAAGCAGCTGGAGATTAATATGGATATCCACGCTGACTGGTTGTAGTGACCATGACAGGAGATGTCAAGGTATATCAACATGTAGATGATATCGTAACAGACATACATCCTTTTAATTACTCGTCCCTTATCATCAACCTCCACCAACACACGCACCTATCTCTAGATAGTTCACGACCTCAAGTAGCACAAACCTGTAACACAACCTGCACCTCCCCGGCCTTTATCAAGCGAGAAGGCGTCCAATGGCGCATCCAAATCCATCTGTACATATCCGAACAGGAGTAAAGCCACTATTCTAGAAGAGGGTAAACTTTACTATTGGGTCATGGTTATATATCTGTGTGACTACGCTTGACCTGAAGAGACTATTCCTCCGTTCTTTATATCCCATATCATGCCAACGCATTCTTGGCCTTTTATGCTTGGGGCTCTTTTGTATGGGACTATGCCTCGGCCCATTGAATCATCACTGACGTTGCACGTTGTGTGCGTATGTGCACTAGAAAGGGTGTCTGTCAGTGCTGGCAGCTGGCAACGGCCGTCAACGAGACCGAACCGAACGGTGCTGAGAAATACTTTCTCTGATGCCTGATGTGATTTCCACAGCTTCATCTCTTTCTTCTTCATCACTTCAATCACCACCTACGAGAATAGACACACTCGACACTCGTTCCATTTAATTTTGAACCCCGTTTCTAGACAGCACGAGATTTCCACTCCTTAAATCTCTTTCGCGATATCTTCATCGCAGCCATGTTCGACGTAATATGGACCGATCCCGATCGCGAGCTCGTCGGAGAGCATCGCGCAAGAAAGGAAAAGAAGCGCGAACAAAAGCAAAAGCAAAAGGAAAGAGAAAAGTCCATCGTCAGACGTTCTCAATCTATTCACAGCGGTCGATCTTCATCTGACCATCCCTTTGGCTTCCTCTTGGGTCGGGGTTCAAAAAAGGACAAGAATAGTATACGCTCGAAGGATTCTAATACTGCTAGCCATCGCAATTCAGGCTTGTCGAATGAGGTTTCTAATGTTGAGATTCAGGCGACCAGAGCTAAACGGTGTTCGGGTCAAGAGGTTTCAAGGCCGGAGACTTCGAAGCTCGTTCAGCCTCTGGGACCGGCTTCCTTCGTCACAAAGCAAACAGAAGTATCATCTGTCCCTCGAACCTCTGGATCTGAGAATCATGATGTATCTTCCGAGGTCTGTATCTCGTCTGAGCCTGACACCGATCAGCCTGTGACGCCTCCCGAGGAAGATAGGTAAGATACTTAACTCCTCTGAAGAACTTCCACTGATGAGACATAGAACCTTCCCAGCACCTCTTCTTCGATCTGATTCTCCATCCAACGTTATCCCCGGCGTTAGATTCGCTGCACGAACAAAGGTACCCATGAAGATCACCTTCAAGTCAAACGGCGCAGACAACTGGCGCCCACCCGAAGAATGGGCTTGTCTCTCCGAAAAGGACAGTGAAGACATGAAGACTCCAACACAGGCTTTGATAAAGACGAGTCATGATATTGGAACCGACTTGGACACGCTGCACAGAGAAGTCAAGCGTATGGCAGCTGCAAACGCCTCTGTCGTCCTCTCGCGGATCAAAGAGGTTTGGAGCACCGTTGACGAGAGTCTTCATTGGGAGCTCGTCTTGGAGAAGAAGCGATGGATGCTATCTACTCTGTTTCACCTTGATCCTATCCCATACAGTCCTGTTCGTTCTCTGCCACCTAGTCGTGATGCCGGAAGCGTCAAGATCCTGGCTCTATACGAATCTCAAGGTAAAAACACCATAAGAAGTAACAAGTCAAGATACTGACATATATAGCGATGGCTTCATATCTCGCTGCGCTTTACCCGAGCAAGAAAATCTACCATCTATCAGCAACACCGCTTTCAAACGCCAAATTCCCAAATGTCAACCCCGTACTGGTCCCATCTGTTTCTCCATCAGCTTTCCCCGTTGCGCCGAATCTCTTTGAAACCGTCTACTCGCTCTCTCTTCCCGCTCTGTGTCCATCGTCAGATATACCTGCCGTGCTTAAGAACATCAGCAAGTGTTTGCGTGAAGGAGGTTCTCTACACCTGACGCTTATCGATCCTCTCCCCTGCGCCAAGGTTCTCGGAAACCGAATGCGTACATGGATAGAAGAGCATCTACTTCTCAATCTTGAGCGCAACTTTCGCTGCACAAACCCAAGCAAACTATTCGGAGACTGGATGGGCGAAGCCTCCCTCCGTGGCTACGGCAGCACCATCACATCAACAAGATTCTACGCAGTACCCGAGAGCGTCAAGAAGAGCCGATCATCCGAGGAGAGCAGCGACCCTTTTATCGACAGGGTGCGGGACGACAATGAGATCAAGGCGGAGCTTAGGTGCCTCGTCGGGCGGATGCTGTGGATGGAGGTTTGGGGGAACTATGTCACGGGTGACACGTGGTGGTGGGAAGACGAAGACTGTGTTAGAGAGTGTCTTGAGCTGGGTACTTTTTGGGAGTACAAGATGATTGAGGGCTTTAAAGACAAAGACATCTAGCGAGATGGACCGTGGGAGAGTTGGTCTCTTATCTCTTTAGACGCGGGAAGAATGGCTTCATGCCCCGAGAGAAGATTGGCGCTTGGCTTTCATGTATACACACACACTCAGAGAGAGAGAGGATCGGAGAAGAACGTTTTGTTTCTGATGAGTGGCTATGGAAGAGTTGTTGCTTGGTTCAACCGTACGACGAGATGCTGTCATGAGTTTCTGTTCCAAGCCTTTGCATTGGCTGTTTATACTATGAGATATCAGTTGTAAAATTTAGAACGTAGCAGAAATGCCGAGAATAATGGTAATAACTTGTTATATCAAGTGTTGCAGCTATGTATCACCTGTTATATTGCGGCTGTCTAGCCATATTATCGAATCAATATCCAAACGCCTCCCGTGAAAGCCCTCGTGTGCGCTAAACTAGATAATCCAAGTGTAGTCTGGATATGAACAATCCTGTACTTTTCATGAATCGTCTTGAAGTGACAGTTTCCATGTATCATGCCTTCTCAAAGACTCACCGCACCGAGACGGATATCCCGTCCATCAGCCTTGGAATCTCCTCAATGTCAGACTCTGCATCAGAGGCTTGATCTTCACCAGCAGTTGACTCCTCATCGTCTGAGCTGTCGACTTCCACAGCCTCACCCATCTCTACATCCCCCCCACTTGACACCACCTCATCGTCATATAGATAACCATACTTTGACGGTGTTTCCCACACAGGGGTGGCCAGTTCTTCCCTCAGATCCTTAAGATAATCCTCAACATCATCCATAGCTAGCTGCCACTCCTCGTGCTGTATCCTCTTATCAACAGCCTTGGCCCAAGCAACATAGTTCTCGCGCTCCCACTCCTCCTCCTTCTTGATCAGGGGTACCAGACGCACACGCGCCATAGGACCGTCTCGTGCCTTGAGGAAGCCCAAAACTTTCTCAAGGGTTTCGATATCATCACGTAGATTTCGATCTCGAATACCGCCATAGAGCCTCATGAATGAGCGCTGCTCCTCATAAGTCGGGAGACGCTTCGACCCAATGTCTAGCCAGTATGGGGCATGGCTGATCCAGACGAAGCAGTCCCAAGGGGTGTAACCACCATCGTTGCCGCGGTAGGGGTTGAGGTTTGGGAGGTCCAGCTCGTTGAGCAGTTCCAAAGCCGGCAGGGTGGAGAATTCTGCAGCAAAATGCAAAATGTTTCGTCCATCGTAGTCAATGACGGACAGGGAAGCACCCGCATTAATCAGACACCTCAGGCCTGACACTTGATCATACATGAGGGCATCAAGCAGCGGAGTAAAGCCCAGATCATCAGGGAACTCGAGGTCGGCCTTGGCTAGGAGAAGCATATCAATGACCTTTGCGAGATCCTCATAAGTGCAGGATGACCCCTGAGCTAGGTGGTGAAGCGGAGTGCTATTCCGCTCATCACAGCCCATGGCATCGGCGCCAGCAGCCAGTAGTTGTGCCACCATCTCAGGATAGTGGCGACGTACAGCAAAGTGGAGGGCTGCAGCACCATCGTTTTCGGTTATGTTTGGGTTGCAGCCGGCTTTGAGGATGACCTTGACCGTGTCAACATCGCCGCAGTTGGCAGCAAACATGAGAGCCGTCCGGCCATGGTAAGCCTTGATGTCAACATCGACACCCGCAGCGACGAGCATCTCGGCATCTCTGGTACGGTTCATCCGAGCTGCCAAGTGAAGGGGCGTGGAGCCGGTGCTGTCAAAGGTGTCGATGGCCCAAGGCTCTTCCTCGATGGCAAATTGCAGGCCCCATCCCTGGCGGACAGCAGTATGAACCTGGGTGGTTGTCGTCTCGGGCTGATCTTTGACGAAAGACTTGACCTTGTTGAGGATGTATATCTCGTGGTCAGTGAGGAACTGGTGCTGAAGAGCGGCATTTGCCTCGTATAAAACATTCCTCGGCCGGGTTAGAGTTACTTTGTAGACGAATAGGGCACGATGAACACCTACCTGGGAAGTCCAGATTCTGGCAAGACGCTTGCCCATTGGCAAAGGAGAGCCTCAACGCCATTGTACAATCGACGACGGATTGCGTACTGCGAGAGGGTTAGCACAACGGTCAGACAGTCTGGGGCTCGTCACTGACCTCCATGAGCCCTTCACCAGAAACATCATGGTCATTCGGGTAAAAAGGCGCCTTGGTTAAAGTCTTTTGGGTGATATGAATACCAGCCCTAAGATCGCCCCAAATATCATGAGTAAACTCGATCAAGGTCAACGGCCGTAACGACCAGTTGAGCCCTGAAAACTGGCTATAAGCTGCCTGAAAGCTAAGAGCACCGGAGAAGAACCATGTGGGAACCTGATACTGGAACTGGAGGCGCGGCGAGCGTTTCTGTCGACAGCAGTTTGGGTTCGTGCACTGCTTGGAGTCGTTGCTACGGAGAAGCCATGAGCCTACCAAGGACCGCGTCCAAGGTGCGCTCTGATAACTGCTCTCATTAAAGTGACATCGACATTGGCATGTATGCGTATAAGTCATTCGTCGAGCTGGCATGGCGGATCTTAGCTGTACTGAGTTGTTGTATGCCCATGGCGTTGAATATTCGTCCTCTTTTGATCCTGGAGGGTGTACAATTCCTCGAGCATGGGTTGGTACTAGACCGATGGACTTTTCTCCGAGATAGTCTGAATCACTGTCAAGGTCCTCAACACGATCATCGTCGAGTTCCTCTGGCTCTGATGTTAGTACATAGGATGGTGGTAGCTCTTCAGCTGGTTGAGGTCCTGGTAGCTCAGCCTGAATCCCCAATGCTTTAGTTTTCGACTCAAGTATGAAAAGGTCCATAAACAACTGGAACCGAGCTCGGAATCTGCTTTCAGCATCAGCGAGAGATGATCTGAGTAAAACTCATGGGTAGTGGCTGACTCGGCCTCGCTGGATATCCCATGCGACGTCATGGCAAGATGCAGAGTGCCCTTTGCGTTCTGCAACTTGCGTTCGAGCTTGAGAATCCTCTGCTCCTCCAGAAGCCACTTTCTCTTCTTCGTCTTCCAAAGCTTCTTGTCTGCCTCGTCGGTCCCGCGAGCGCAGCTCTCAAGGACCTTGTTCAGCTCACTCGTCACCTCGTTGACCTGCTCGGTTGCCTTGGCCAAAAAGTCCTGCTCTGGCGAGTTGGACGGGATCTGCTGAGCGACCTTGGCCATGGCCTCGGTCAAGTCCAACTAGAGCAATTGAGTTAGACGCTAGTAATAACCGCCAAGCAAAGAAAAAAGAATATACCTCTTTAATTAGGCCATCGAAATCGCCTTGTATCTCAGGAATCTCGCGTATCAGGCCGACAGTCTTACGGACGGCTTCCAGAGCCTGCACGATGGCGATGCCACTGGCGACAGCGCCGAATACCTCCATTTTTGGACATGCAGTGGCTGCAAAGGTTGTATCACGCGAGAAGAAATGGGGGAGATTGAGAGAACCAACGGGTCCGTCAGCTCACGCAGGCAACGAAGCCATAGAAGGGGCTCTTGGTGAGGGCTGAGAGGCCAATCAGATGGCGAGGGGACACAGCCTCAGCGCGTAGAGGCGGTGCAGGGAGAATCTGCCATGATGAGAATCTGCCTCGCTGGTGATGTAGGCTGAGTTTGGATGCCTCTGCTATTATTATTGCAGCTGAAGCTGTTTCAGGGACAAGATCTGTATATGCTTTTTGTTGTAGAGACTGAGAAGCAAATGCTCTTGATCAATTGACAATGTTTAAGCCACTGACAAGCCACAGTCCACTTGCCGCTCTCTCCACCTCCACTATTCTCGGTGGGGACGGGACGGGAGCTTCCTTGAGCAGGAAATAACTCACTGGGGCCTCCCGACTCACGTGAGCTCAAGTTTCTCCATACCTAGGATTAGCGAGAGTAACCATCTTGGGCTTGTTTCTTGGCTACCGTTAACATCTAGGAGTCTTGGTTAGAGTGTTTGACTTACTGGATAACCTTATCCTTGTTCACTCTCTGGGCTCATGAGTCGGCTACCTCCTACTCACACACGGGCCTGTCTGCTCCCTCGCTAAGCACGGTGCGTGCTTCAACACCATGGAATGCGTCCATGAGTGAACAAGGCTTTGAGGCAGCCATTCCCTCCTGAAGTTGGAAATAGTCTTGGCGATGACATAAATTGTTCATCTGTACAAGTTACTCACATATAGTTATGCAGGTTTTGTGCAGACCTGGAGTACTCACTCAATGCTGGACTTCGATGAAGCCATCAAGACATAACCCTCTAGATAACATCCTTCACGAGGATCAATGTTATCATGAAATGCCTCTCATAATGACCATGATATCATAGTGATAAATAAAGTATTCATAATGAAAGACCTCAACTCACTCACCAGCCCGTACCATTCCTGCACACTCGGACCAAGACAATCATTACCAGTTCATCCCAAGTTTACCGAACAAACCGCCTGACACATAGCCGTGAACCGAGGTCCCAAGCGATCGGATGGACGGGAGAACGATCACCTCTTTCCCGCAGATGGCTTGTTGGTGAGGAGAAAACTGGATGATCTCTTAGAAATGGCTTCAAGAGCCAAGCTCTCCCCCGCAAAAAAGAGCCAGCCATCTCGCTTCTCTCTCTTTTCCCCCGCATTTTGGCCTTTGTCTTGGCAGAGAGCCGGATCCCCTGACCCTGCACTCGGTCACGCTCTTTCTCTGCCCATGTCTGTTTAGCAACAGCTAAAGCGGAATAGAGAGAGTCGGAGGTGATAAAGAACGCCACTGGGACTTCCAACGGAAAAGGGCATCGCTTTGCCCCTCACGACCTATCTCCCAAGGCCTAGAAGCTCTCACTCCCGTTTCAAAAAAGACCAAAAAGTCTATTCTATTAAAACCTCGTACACATGATGCCCATGTAATGAATATCCCCGGCGATGCTGTCCAAAAGAGGAAGCTCAAGACCGTGGTTTAACTCCACTTTGAGAGAGACCATTTGAATTGCCGCTTCGTCAATCTTTTTCCCCAGGATCTCATCTACATACGTATCTCTTATAAAAAAGGGGGGCTGGTAAAAAAGGGAAAGAGAAAGGGAAGAGAAAAATGGTCCACTGATATGCCCATCCCCGGATTTTCCCCAGATTTGCTCGTGTGCTTCTGTTTTGCTGTTCACGACCACCTCATTTTCCTCATCCCCCTCTTCTCCGCCCTTTTTGCACAAATATCCCCCCTTCTCCAACAAACATATTAGAAATACCCAATTTCTCCAAAATCCTTCTACTCTATCATCACTCCCTCCGGACAAGCGGCTACACGCCCCTTTATGTGACAGAACACGCATGGCTCCTATCCCCTGCCCACCGCGTGGTTTATCACAGAACACCACGTTTTCTCCTCGTGCACCGGATAAAAGCCCTCATCGTAAAGGAGGTCCAAGCGTAACTTGTATGTAATCCACGAGGGAAAAAGTTCTGTGCATCCTTCCTTGTGCATCTAGACTCCTTTAAAAACTCTGCAGACTTCTCTCCAACCACCGCATGTGGCGGTCAAGGATTCTCGGTTCCTTCGCTTCGTTAATCGCTCGCATGAATTTGACGGGAAAAGTAAAAAGGAGAGGCGGGCTGCATGTTTCATAGAAAAAGCAAGAGGGAAGAAAAAACAACTAAAATGTGACGCATCGGTTCGACAAGAGGCGGGGGACAAGGGGTCCTGAAGAGCAAAAGCAATGCTCAACCGATAAGCTTAGATGGACTTGACGTTCGAGTCTGGGTTGCAAAGCCTGACGAAATATTCACGTTCAGTCCATATTCTCTAATGAATACCAAAATATACGCTCAGAGTCTATTCTGACGCTTTGCAAGTAAATGTATGTACCGTCAACTCCCTGATCTCCTATGTACTAGCCCACATTCGCCTTCAACTAGCATCCTACCCATCAGATGCCCAATCCAAGCCCCTAGGCTTTTCCGTAAACATATAATCAGTCGCGACACGAAACTGGGGTATCCGTCATATCCGTTCGGCCAATCCTCCAATGCCGTCCTTTAATATGTCGCTATCCAAGACGCGGTCCATCCATGGAAGCCGTGTCTTCATTATACAAGGTGATACAAAAGAAAAGTATGTAAAATCCACTCCTCCAATCATACACAGTAACCTTATACGTGTATGTTATCTCGCCGTCCATCGTCCGAGGTTGGCCTGCTCTCGTTGGCCAGCTCCGTCATACTTTCCGTCTCGTACTTATTTGAGCGTGTGTTAGCCCGGAACTGGCTAAGATTATGTCGGTGGTGATGATGATGGTGCACGCTGATCTCAGGCGCCATGCCACCCACCAACTCAGTCACGTCTGGTCGTCGACCCATGCGTAGGTCGCTCAGCAGGCTCTTGCATGCACCCCACGATGTGACCATGTAGATGAGCGCGTTCCAGAAACCCTGCAGCGGAAGCACAAAAGCGCTCATAAACTCGAGCGGGACTGAAGAATGCTTGGTGTGGAACACAGCATATACACGGTTGGCGCTCGACGGGATCCAGGTAATGAGGATGGCCGTGAAGAATAGGAGGGCACACTTGGTGTACTGCCATGCTGCGTTGTTGAGCTCGCGGTTTCTTCGCCGAGCCGGGTTGCGCTGAACGGGGGGCACCTGCATGCTGGTCCGCGTCTGCTGTTGCTGGATCGGAAGTACTACATCGGCAACATCCCCGGAGCTAGTATCTGCCGAGATAGTGACCGAGTAAGCTCCGTTTGTGTCCTGCGGGCTGTTGACATCCGGAGCTCGGCGGCCCATAGGTTGAAGGTGGATTGCATTTGGGGACATGACTTCGGTCGTCACCGAAACCTCAGTAGTCTTGATCGTAGCGAGAGCATCCCCAAGAGAGGTGAGATCCTGATCAGTCGAGCTGAAGTTATCGAGGTCTCTTCGCTTGCGATAGATGGTGTGACCAGCGCGGATATAGATGAAGAAAGTAATGGCAATGACGACCCTGTGAATGTCAGCATTGGCTTTGGTTCCGGCTTGAGTGCTGCTTACCAGATAGGACCGTAGAAGGTAATGATGCGCCAGATATCCCACTCAGGACTCACCCAGCACCACAGAGTTGCATCACCATACATTCGCTCGCCTTGCTTGTTCTTGATGAAGATGTAAACAAAGGCAGGGATGAATGGGATTCCGTAACAGCCGACGAGGTAGGGGATTTCCATCTTGCGTAGTCTTCGGGCGTCAAACTTGAAGTAGAATGTCAAGTACACATTGATGGCCATGGAAAGAGTCCAGAATGCGTCTGCGGGCATGAACCTGCTCATGTTAGTGTCTAGCTAGGAGTCTCCCAAAAGGCACGTACATCTGGATCAAGAAGGCCTGGAACTGGCATCCCACCGAGGAGGGGGAACCCAGGTATTGCCTCGACATTAATGTTCCGACATTGGTCATCATGTTTCCAAACGAGGCGTAAAAGACGAGACGGTTGATGGGTTTATGAAACGCCTTGGATGACACAAACGTGCCAATGACGAAGAGGGAGCCTAGCAGGGAAAACACCGAGCATACTCGTTCGATGATGCTTATGGAATTGAGCTGCGACGCAGTGAGAATTTCTGACGACGACATGGCGACGGAGTTGAAGCGCGAGGCCTAGAATGATGATTGATGTAGTAGTAGTATTATCGTGGACGTCGTGTAATTGGGTCGTTCAGTCGGAGTACAGCAGGCGATGTCGTCTACCGATCAAGTATCATTCTCGTAAACACAGCTGGATCCTGTGGAGAGTTGTAGTGGTTGTTCAAGACGTGGCCGGCTTGTGGCAAGTCTCGTGAGGTTGCTTAGACGAAGGTAGGTCCAACCCAGTCTTGAAGTATAAAATCAGGAACAAAAGGTAAGCAAGTCAAAACAGGCCAGGGTGATTATGATGTACTCTAGCGTGATGACAGACAGGCGAGAGTAAATGAGGGGAGGACGCAGATCATCATGGCAGGATGGCAAAGAAGGAATATGGAGGGGACGATGATGGTGGGTGTGGTGGGAAAGACAAGATACAAGTAGTCTTACCCAGAAGCAGCCAAGAACCCGGCACAAAGGAAGACAAGAGGTGTGTGTAGATGGGATGGGTGTTGCAGGGAGGGGCAGGAACAGGATTCGAATGGTTCGAGGGACGATCCTAAAGAGGAAGATGAGGCTGCTGCTGCTGCAACAGAGGAGGGGGAACTAGAAGAGCTAGAACAGAGGCTACGACAGAGAGGGGGATAAGAGGACAGGTGAGGAGGGAAAAGGAAGGGTCTAGGTCACGGAAACCGTTGACGAGGGTCCCCTGCGAGCATGGACGGCTAGCTTGATGCGCTGGAGATGCGAGTGGGCTTCCTGTCGGACGCATCATTAATGGAGCCCGGGGAACAGGGCAGGGAGACTCCATGGTGTCCACAGGCACAGGGAGAGACTCGAGATGGAGCTCCACAGGGTTGGTTGGCTTTGACGTAACAGAGATCGAGGGCAGCTGTGTCGACGGATATCTCGGTGGTCGAAGTAGCGGAGTGGCGTAACTTGGTATGACAAGAGTCAGGAAATGGAAGAAACGGCCTTGAACACGACAGCGGAAGACGATTAAGCCTCAAAGTCAAACTGGACGGTAGATAGCATGGGGAACAATGGGTGATGGAGGAAAGGCCATCCATCTCGCATTAGGGCTGCATGCTCAACCACAGACAGGCAGTGTCCGCCAAACGAGACCTGTTGTGGCCTAGATAGCTCAGCCAAGCTCTTTAGGGCCTTGTCGTCGAGGTAGGAACGCGGATGGAGAATGGCACGGAGAGCAAAAGGTGGCGGCGAATCAATGGCGTTGGAGAAGGAAGCAGATGGGCAGTCGGACGCGGCGACGGGCCAGCGGGCCTGTTGTGCTGTGCTGTGCATTTCCAATGGGTGGTTGATAATGGGCGTCGATGGTGTGTAGAGGTGTGAAGGCAGAGATGATGTGTGTGGAGTTTGTGGAGAAACCTGGTGAGCAAAACCCACATGCCTGAGGATCTTGGGGTTGGTCAGCCCGCGCCTTCCCCCGTCTGTAACCCGTTGATGCAGAAGGTGCAGTGGAGACCTTGCTGAAGGAAGGAGTGGGCAGGTGGCGCAGGCCCACTGGAATGGCCCTGGAATGGCCTCCTCTGAGCAACCAGCGGCACGTAAAACAGATCCCCTGGAAGAGCACTGACTCTGTGAAGAAGCACTGACTCTACTGCTGACATTGAGTGGTCCCTGGCTTCATCTCATCACTCAAAGATCCTGATCCTCCTTCTCTTTGCCGTCATAGTGTCAGGAACGGCGCCCTCCTTACGGCCCTATTCTTACGCAACATGTCGTCGTCGGCCCCTGAGCAGCCAGACAGGAGCTTCATCTCCTACCAAGCTTTTCCTTCAACTGTCAGACTCGGCACTAGAAGCCGTAGATGCAATGACAAATGCCCCGAGAAACTCGGCCGCGAGACAGTTGACAGCAATGATCTTCGCCCTCCCGAGACAGAGCTATCGAATTTAATTAAAATTCATCTTGTCTAGGCCTCGGTATAAGTCGCCAAACGTCGGAATCGGCATTCCTAGAGTTTTGCTCTTCATCTTCACGTGGATGCTCCCTCCCTCTTCCCAATTTCCCCAGAGCCAAGCCCATCGTGACCCTCCCCCAGCTTTTCTTCCTCTCAGCTCGAACAGCGCCCGCTGGAGAAAAGGAGCATCCAATTGACCGCGTCGTCTTGGTCTTTCCCATGTCTTTGCTTGGCGCGGGGTTTTTCTTCGCCACGACAGCTCTTGGCCAGCCACGCCCAGCCCATGGGACCCCTGCTGTATGACGTGGCTTGGCATCTGGGGGAAAAGGAAAAACAGCGAGACGAGAGGCCACGGGTAAAGAGGGGCGATGGGGACGGCAGATGGAGAGGATCCGGGGAATATTCAGCAAAGGTCAGCAGTTGACGGAGGCGTCTTGCCTTGTCCTGTTCAACACCATCTCTTTCGTATCCAGACGATATGCTTTTCTCACCGCTTCCTGATAAGCTTCACTGACCTCACAGGCCGTACACAGCATCTCCTTTTCATCATCCAGAAGCGCGCAGACCCATGATCCGTCAGCCCTCACAAAGCCCAAGTGGAACCTTTCTTCAGCGTCTTGTCCCCCCTCCGCCAAGCAGTTCCACGACTCAACTTGCCGCCTTGTTCCCTCTTAAACCCGTGTCCAAGTCAAAGCGCTCAAGCCGTGGCTGTCCAACCCCAGACGCCAACTGCGCTGCTGTCGTTAGGGCTTGCGTCGTCTTCTTCACCGGAGCTTGTGGTAGCTACCGCCGACGCGCCTCATCACGCCGTCTCTCGTCCTGGCGCGATGGAACATGTGGTAGAAGAAGCAGCTCCGGTGGTTATCTAGATTGCCTCTCACAATCAGGCCCCTTTCTCTGCGGGCGGCTTTGCTTACGGGATCGACTGCCGCCTCTTCCGTAACTCGAGTCCACGTTTGGCGTCGTCATTGAAACCCTGCGGCTTGATCGATACTGTGACGAATGAAGCCTCCATCGAGGTTTCAGTCCATCTTTATCGACCATGTTCGCGCCGTCGTCTTGGCCACGTGTGTTGACCGCAAATCATTTCCCACGAGGGCTACTTTGCTCTGGATGCCACGCGGGAGACCAGGCTCACGATGCCACCAATATCGTGTCACATCTCGGGGCGGTCTACTCCTCTGCCTTGCACCGATGGACGCCACATACGCAGCGGAAACGACCTGAGACGGTCGCTCTCTTGAGAGGTGTTATATACCACGTTTATTGGATGCAGGATGCAACGGTCTGGGCTTAGTCGACAGCCCTTGAAGGTTTTGGCTTATGCATATCTGGTATATGCATCCATTACAGATGCTGCTGAGCACAAAAAGCCATGGTGGTGCCATGTCGATGCACGCTGACGGCACAGTCACCCAATCTTGGGCCTCGCTTCGGCAACACCAGGCCCATGGGAAGCGTCATGATGCCAGCTTCCCCAGCTTCTCGTGATGCCACTCGTTCGACTATCTCGACGCCGAGTGATCAGATCCCATTGTGAACCCAGAAAATCTCGCAAACCCCAGATTTCCCCCGGGGGCTGGGCGATTCTGGGGTAAAGACGGAGAGATCTGGGATATTCTTGGTCTGCTGAGGGTACTCACGATGGACAAGCTGCGACTCGATGGAATAAGAACCGTGGCTCTTGGCAGATGGAATGATTGTGAATTCTCGTCCCAGTGAATCCTCATCGTCGGGCCACACCAGCCAGTTTAGTACCCGACCCCGCGGACTTCCATCACCACCACCCACCAAGGCATCGCCAATGGCGTCGTCACTTGGCGCATCCTTCAGCACTGGAAATGGAGGGTAGCCCGAGTAGTCGGGTTTCTGTTAGCCCGCGCCCAGACTCTGAAGCTACTGTGAATCTTGATTCTTGACCTAACATCATCTGAGACAGAGAACAAAGGAGAACTGGCTGGCGGACACATTTCTAAGCCCGCCATTTGCTGGACTCATTATTGCCACAGCTAATTCCCGCCGCCAACGAAGCCATCACCAACCCCGCGCCAGACCTTTACTCTTGGCAATGGCACCATGGCTTCAACAGAGTCATCGTCGCCGCACGTGCCATTGTCTAGATCCTGATAATTATCCATCCCATGTCCTCTCCCTTTCCCCTGGTCCTTGCAGGGCAGGGGAAACTACGCCCGAGTTGTCTGAACGAGAGCTCGGTCCTCCTAGCATAAACCGCCTGCCTGGAATCAAGGTCCCCTGACAACTTGGCAAACCTAGATTGTCGAAGACCACAGCTGCATCGACAATCTTGGTCCCTGGACCGATAATATTTGTCAGATCCCGACGGCGTATCCGAGCGACGTATTGTTTCTTGTCGCGTGATCCTTTGAGATGCTTGTTGCGTTGTATTACAGAATACGAGCTACGCTCATGTTCAGATGGGCCAGTCGTTGAGGGAGAGTTCAGTATCATTCCAACGTCCCTCTTCTAGGCTGTCGACGTCGGACCGTCAAACAACCAAAAGATAGAGCCAGCCACACTAAAACCATGGCAACACCAGCTCCAGACCCCTTGCTGTGTCTTGTCGAGCCGTTTCGTACGCTAACCCGGTAGCCCCTGAATAGCTTCAGATTGAGCGCAAAGTCCGGCGCTCCACCCCCAAGGTCTCACCAGCTTAGCCTCAACTGGGAGGCGTTTTCCGGAGCTATTCCCGGGAATTGATAGACTGGACATCATGGCCTGGTTCTAGAATGAGCTTGGGGGATGGGGGTCGTTGATGTTATTTGTTGGAGATACGCGAAGACGGATTCCTCATGCTGGGACACGAGTCAATGTCGAGTCGAGCTGTCACTTCGTAACAGCCAGCTGACCTATGGGAGAGTCTTCTCCCCTAGCTCGTTCCTGGACTTGGGCTTGTCAACGTTATTTCGCGGCCGGGCATATGGCTGGCGTCTTACCTTGACCGTACCTTGCAGACGCATCTCAAGTTTGACTCGAGAGATAGCCCCCAACCCTATCTATCCGAGCCTTCATTCCCCGGCTGATGTATTGTGTTGTTCACTTCTGTTGGCAGCTCCTGAGCAGGCACTTCATTCGCTGGCATCTCAGCTTCATAGGCCGTGTCAGATGAAGACGAGCCTGGAGCCATTGACGCTGACCCTTCTAGCTCATACGTAGGACGAGGAACGCAGTCTGAGGGTAGCTGTGCCTTGTACTCGGCCTCTGGCTTTTCTGAGCTGCCACCCTCGACGTGGGCCAGTTTCGACTCCTTGGGCTGCCTCTGTCGTCGCTTCCACCACCAGACACCGAAGAAGGCGGCACATGCGAGGAAGACAAATGATGGAATGACCGATCCGACTATTATGGGTATGTTTGCATTTGAAGAGTCGTCTAGTTCTCGGTCAGTTCAATATCACTTATTGGAAGATGTTCTGGACATACCGTTCGAGTCAGAGCCTGTGTCAGCCGTCTGAGTGACCTTGAGGGTGCGCGTCACCGTAAAAAAGTCTTGATCATGATTAGCTCTCATCCCAGAGACCTGGTAATCTCAACATACTGCTTAAAGAAGCTGTCGCAGCTCCTGTCTTGGTCCCCAAAACGACCGTGATAACCCCTCCCGTGTAATCAGTCAAGACTGTTGTCGCGCACCCAGCACATGAGGTTGTCGGTATGACATTCTTGTTGGGTGCTATAGTGGATGCACTTTCGGAATCTTTGCACTTGTCGAGAAACTGCTTGAATTCGTTTTGGATATCGGCGTTTACGGTGTCTTTTGTCGAATCGCTGTTTTCTTTTACACAGTCTATGCAGATGTTGTAGACCTGCATGAAGGAACCGTTCTCGGCACATAGTCTGTCGGTTTTGTCTCCATCCGAGAGACCAATCTTATACGCGTTGTCTAAATTCAGAGATCAGCTTCTGGATATTCATGACTATAGAGAAGTGAGGCGTACTGCAGTCATCGTAGCATATTGCAGGAGTTGTATCTCGTCGAAGATGAAGATGTCCAGTAGGGTTACTCTGAACAGGGACTTGAGGTTGGAACATAAACTTCCATGTCTGTCCAGCATATTGGAGTAGAAAATCCATCTTCAATCATATAAGCGATGTATGGACATGCCAAGGAATCAAGGAAGGATATAAGGAGATGCAAAGAGGCAATATTTTTCGGGTCGTCGGTAATCCCCTCCCCTTTACTTATTTTAAGCATCCTCTTCAAAGGTTGTCGATCGCCAAGGCCAAGTTTTCCAACAAAAAAAACACCGCCTTGATCATCTCCAACCAACAACACAGCCTGTGGGATTTAATCAGTGGCGTCGACGATCTTCGTACACTACCGCCACGGAACGGAGAGTCCAGCAAAAGACGTCCTTTGAAGGGATTCGCCCGAGCTCCTTAGCGCTGATGTAGATCAGCCCTATGCTCACGCTTGACGTTATAGTTGTCGATCATTGAGGCTTGAACGTGACCCTTTGTTGGCAACGTTGTAAATTGGGAAGAGTGCAACGTGAGAAACCTTGGGCTTGGCGAATTATGTTTTGTAAATGACATTTCTGGGGTATCAAGGCTGAGTGTGCTTTGGTTTCAGACTTGAAGAGCACGTGTAAAAGAATAACAAGCATCGCTAACCCGTCGCTCTCTCAACGACATTTCACTTGGAAGCGCCTGCTGCGTCGTTGCTCCCATTCCCTGGTTTGCTTTCATCATCCTTCTCCTCTTCGCTTTTCCCTTCTTCAGCCTTGCTTTCTTCCGTCATGATCTGCCCCTCCTCGCTCTTGCCAGTCCTTCTCTCCCTAAGCTTCTTGTCTGTCGGCATCTCGTGAGCAGCAACCTCGTTTGCAGCCATCTCTGCCCCGTCCGGAGAGGTAGGGTCTATAACGATGGGCATAGAGCCCTCGAGCTCATAGGTCGGCCGAGGCACGCAGTCCGAGTGCAGTTGAGCCTTATCAACCTTGGCTTCTTCGTCGGGCTGGATCTGGGCCTCTTGGTCCTTTATCTTTTCTCGCTTCTTGTACCATCGGAGACCGAGAAACGCGAGGATTATGAGGAGCACGACTGAGGGGACCACGGGGCCGACGATGGTGGCCACGTTCGGATCTGAGGAGTTGTCTGGCTCTGGAGACAGGTTAGCACATGCTACGGGAGCTCGCAATGTTGTATCCATACTTTCAATCTCTGAGGCCGCGGTTGGCGATGCTTTTTCTGTTACGTGATGCGTGACATGAAGCGTCTCCTTGACTGTCGAGTAGAAGACCCTTGCTTGTTTCACAGTTAACTCAAGATCAGGCAATGCAAAAAAGAGCTTGTGGGCTTACCATCAAGAAGAGAAGAGGTTGGCACCTTCTCCGTGCCCAAAACGATTGTCATCACATTTTTCCTATAATCTGTCATAACTGTGGTGATGCATCCATCACAGTCTATGTCTGTAGTAGCGCTTGACTGAGGCTGCTCTTCCTGGGGGCTACTTGGGTTACTTGTATCCTCCCCTTCACAATAGTTGATGAATTAGCCGAACTTGGGCTCGACATAGTCCCGAAGGGAATCCTTAGAATCTCCACCATTTTCCGTTATGCAGTCTGTACAGGCGGCGTATGAGCCCATGAAGGCGCTACCCTTGGCACATAGTTTGTCGGTTTTCCCGTACGACACGGCGATCTTGTAAGCACGATCTGGATAGGCATCGTCGTCAATCATGCTCGTACGCCAACAAGGGGGTGATTAGACTCACCGCAGTCATCAAAGCACACTGCTGGCGTGGTGTCTTGTTGGCGAGCAAAGAGTGGCGAAGGTGTGTCCCTCCACGCCCGCGAAATACCTTGAAATACTCGTCGGAGAGGCCATAATCGAGGTTCCATATTAAAGTCAATTGCACCTTGGAAGAGTATCTTATCAGTTTGTGAGGGATACACGGGGAAGAACGACGAGAGAGAAGGAAAAGGTTGTAACTCTCGATTCTCGCTGCCCGCTCTTGTTTAAGGAAAATGGCAGGTGATGATACTAATACCCTGGTATACATATCATGCAAGCCACTTCTATCCCGTGCAGTACACAGCCCAACCGCTCTTCAGCTGGATCCTACGCAGCCTGATTTGAGCCGCTCCCCAGATAGCGGGGATTCCCCCAAGCACATGGCAGGTCCAAGAAAAAGCTTCTTCATCTCCATCGAACGATTCAATAGAGTGCTTTGAGGAGGTTTGTGAGCAAGTCAAAGAGGTTCGGATTAGTGCAAGAGTTGCGCTTCTCCTCATCCACGGCCTTGGGGGTTGTTCCACAACAGCATCCAGCCTCGTTCAAATTGAGGGGGCGGCAACTTTCTTATGCACCGTGGCAAGCCTCCAGTGGACAGAGGGAGGCCATGTATGCCCAGCCTCTTTGCCAAGCTCTAGATCAACCATTGCATGCTTCTATTATCTCAATGTGACTATCGTCAATGCCAGCCATAGGTGAGCCCCATCAAGTCCAACTAAGGCGAATACGTAGATGAATCAGCAACCGATACTTTCTCTTATACCCAAAATGTACCTTGAGTCCTCGACTAGGTAGCTCAAGCGAACTTCCACTACATGAAATCCCCATCACCTCAAGTTGGTCGCTGGGCCATTAGCCACGAACCCATACAACTAAAAACTATGTGTACCCAGACCACGTGCGGTATCATTTGCCCAACATGAATCAATGCCAACCTAGGTCCTCACGTCCATTGGATAAAAAGTTGCGTCGAGGCATGATACTGAAGCACCATTCTAGTGTGTCTGATTGCCTAACTTCTAGCCTCCCCTTGTTTCGTCGTGTTGCTGGCTTTTGTGTCTCAAACGTGGTCCCCTCAAAGAAGAGTTGGCTCCCTGCGCGGCGAATATACAGACTATCCCTTGTATCAAGTGCAATCGGTTCAGTGAGCCAGTCAAGACGGACCCATCCCACAGACTCGCGACGACCGTCGGCAAACTCGACAAGCAGACCGGTGAGGGTTTGATACCAACGGCTACTGACAACCCCATCGACACAAGGGTAGATCTTGGATGCTTCTCTCAGGGAGCATGACGTGTACCAATACTTCCATCCGTTGATGCCCTTCATAGAAGGAAGCAGCCGGGATTCTGGTGGAGTCGGCAGAGCGTCTTGGGGAGGAGGAAAGGGATGATTCTTATCTCCTTCGAAAGCAATAAACTGGAGCCTGAACATCTGTTCCTTGTACTCTAGTTCGTTGATGAAGACACGGCATGGCTTGGGGGGCACTTTAACAAGGCGTTTGATGTTGAAAGCCTCAGGTCGAGATGGGCCAAAAGTGATGGTTCGCCCTTTGTCAGTAGAGAACTAAGAAGAATTGCTGTTAGCCTGGTTCGTAAGAAAATGGAGCCTTGTGGTCCTACCGATATACCAGCCAGCTTAAAGGAGCTTTTCTTCCGAACCATGCCATAAATTTCGGTTATGCGTTCGTCTTGATGCAAGGGCATGAAGACCAGCGACAACTCGGCCGGGTCTGTGATGTCTTCCAAGCCCGGCACTAGAGGCAGACTCGGTTGGCTCATCCCCTGATCCCGTTTATGAGAAAAGATGGTTAGAAGATTCCCTTGTTGATCGAGTGCCACAGAGTAGCCAACGATATCGGGCGAGTTGCACTCGAAGAAGCGCATTCGAAGATGAAGGATCCATCTTACAGGCGGTTTCTGCATTGTGCCGAGTTCGATGATCGCGGGAGGGTTTGCGATGGGGATCTTCCAGTAAATCTCGGGTGGACGGTAGTCGGTCGGTCTTGGGATTTCATGCTTGAGATACCACCAGGCACCTGGTATGGTAGGATAGTCGCGACACCATGCTTCTCGCTGACGGGGGGAGACTGGGAATACCTGCAGAACCCCAAATGCATCAACCGCAGCAAAGTAAGCTTTGCTCTTATCAAGTAGCGGCAGTCGGCATATGAACTCGGACTTGTCTGAAGCATTCCTAGAAGAGCTTGGTGGGGTGTTGGCGTCTTCCAGAGATGGTTTCTTCTCCCGAATGTAGTGCCGACCATCAATATTGATGAAAGAGACGTAAGTAGGATTGATTGAGCCATTATAAAGGTAATATGGAGATAGGGGTTCCATACGGCCTCGCCACAGAGCTGTAGTGATTGCAGTCTCCCGGACAAGGTAACTGGCAATCATCCGCCAGACCTCACAGGGTAGCTTTCGTGGCCAGCTTTCATGGTAAAGCAGCTTACTTGATAGAAGATCCACGAGGTAACGGGCTCTGCGTCTCTGATGGCTGACTGAAGGCGTGAAACCGCGTAGCGGTTCATCTAGACACCTTGATGCGATGGCTTCGGAACAGCTCCGTCGATAACATTGAAGATGGAAACAAGGCCCATCCTTGCCTATCCAGGAAAAGGTCACGGGCCTGCGTATATGAGATTTGGAGGCTCTCTCAATACGGTACCAACTTTGAACTTTTTGGAAAACAAACGCCTTGGAGAAGCCGTCTTCATCGAGATCTAGAGATGTCCAGATGCCCCAGTCAGCAGAAGCACCGGGCGTGCTGGTGAACCCTTACCCGCGATGATCTGTTCGCCTTCAACAAAGTCGAATTTGCACATTAAGCATTGTATATTATACCGATCGATTCGGAATTCGATCGTTTTATCGGATCCATCACGAGACATAGTGAGACGAAATGTAGATATGACAGGAGCAGGCTTGATCTGGGGGGTTTCGGGACGCAAGAAGTTGGGGGTTGTCAGACTCAGGAAACGAGGTTGATGGAGGAAGGAAATGGGAATGAAAAAGGAGGAAGAGATGGTGTTTTGATCTCCAACACCAGCGCAGGACAGGGAAAGTGCCACCCAACATTCATTCCCATGTTCAATTGGCTAACTTGCCTACCCAGATGGATAGATCACGGCTACATGCAGCCCTCATCAAACATCGTCACGCCCAACAAACATAATCTTGCAGTTAATATGCATCCATCCTCTCTATCCCGCCCTCCGTCTGTCTTCACCCGACAGCTCATAAGCGGGTGCCTCATTGGCTGGCATCTCGCCATAAGAATACGAATGAGCATGGCCTTGGTCGGCAGGCAATGTTGTAACTACTTGTCCGGGGTTGGGTCGAGGAATACACTCTGAATGTAGCTGAGGCTTGTCAAACTGGGCCGTTTCTTGGTTCTCTTGAGGACTTGGGGGGGCTTTTGGTGCCCTCTTGCGTCGTCTGTACCACCAGAAGCCAACACCTGCGAGGATCAAGACGGCCACTATTGCGCCGACAACAGGGCCGGCAATCCAGGCTTGGCTTTTGCCTGAGTTGTCTGGGCAAAGGTTAGATAGTGTACGGAAGAAGCATTGTCAACGTACCGTTTGCCTCTGAAGGGCTACTCGAAGTTGGTGGGTCTAGTTGATCCGACTCGCCTGTTACTGAAGGAGCATCTACTCCAGTTAGTCAAAGACAAGGAGGGAGAGGCTAATACTTACTATTCGAAGTGGCAGCAGGCACGTTTCTGGAAGTCGAATCATCTGCATCGTCAGTACTCGCCGCCTCTGTGGCAGACCTTTGCTCATCCTCCTCAGTAGTCGCCAAAGTAGCAGAGGCTGTAGCCAAAGCCGCAGAAGCTGTACCCATAGTTGCCCAGTTCGTCAACGATGTAAAGCTAGCACAATAATCGACAAACCGCCCCAGCTTCGGCTCGACGTATTCTCTGACATTGTCCGTGTCGGTCTCATCCTCGATACAATTTGCGCAGGTCTGATACAAATCGTAAAAACCGTCGTCTTCGCACAACGCTTCAGTCCGTCCAGCCAGGCGTGCATACTGATATGCATATTCTGTGTATCATTCGAATTAGTAATTCAAATACAAACAGTCCAGTGAGGACCTTCGGCCTACCGCAGTTATAACATTGCACCGGAGTACTTTGCCGACGGACCAGTGTCAATATGTCGCCAGCCATGACTTTTCGATATGCCATTACCCGCAGCCAAACAATTCAAGAAGAAAGGAAATGCAAACAAAAAAAACAGCCGCTGGCAACCCGGGGATCTCGGGCGTTTTTGACTATTGCTCTGGCGTGCCAGGGATGCAAACATGCCAAGGCTGCAACCTGTTCAGCTGAGAGTTGAGCGCGATCCTGATTTGCTGCATGCCTCGGCAAAGTGAAGGGGTCATGAAACGGAAGCTATTAACCGATGCTGCATGTTTAGAGCTGAATCTAACTGTTGTTTCTTTGGGTTTCTGAGGAGGCTGTTGCAAGTTTGTCAAGAAATGGTTGTCAGACAGGCTATGCAGTAACTAGATCAAACCCGCAGGTTTCGGGCGATACAATTATTTATACGGATATTATGTCACTTTATAGAGTAAATCAATCTGGGAACTACCGAAGCCTTTGGCGTTGACCCTGGTTGAGAGCTGGGATCTTTAGGTGAAGATGCAAGCCATGTCACGCGCGAATTTCTTGAAAGATTGCCAATGGCCCAATTGGTTTTACTTATCACTTCTCCCTTTTCTCTGTCTATATGTGGCTTGCTGGCGCCTCTCCTTTCAAGAACATGGCTCCTTTGCACTGCAAGCTCTAGTGTTTGCTCGATCAAGACCAGCCCTCCAAGCACAACTTTACAGAGTGTCGTTGCCTATTGCGCAGTGAAGGAAGAAATACCAAAATAGCAAGGCATCAGTCAGCTTCCCAGAATATTTAGTGACTGCTGTTTGATGTGCCTAGCGAGGCCTTTACCTTACTGCCTACCTTTTCCTCATCATTCACTCTCAACCCAGAGGCTTCGACTCTTTGCACTCAAAAGATCAGCAAGAGACGACATGGCAGTAATAAACTCTTCAAAACATCTACCTCCCAACGGGGATCATGAAACTGGTCGACGGGAACCCACCCTGGCTACCTTAATCACATCACCACAACTTGGAGATACTCCCATCGTCGGCATCCATCTACAACATGTCTCGCAGAAACAACCGCCGGGCGCGATCCTCAAAGCCCACAAACCGTACCCCCGAGAGCCAGTTGACAATCCCCAAGTCGCCCAAACAGATCAAGAAGCAGAAACGTCGCTCGCGACGCGAAGCAAAGCGGAACCAGGCGCAAAACCGCATGCGAGAACAAACCGTTGACAGCGACGGCGACATAGACGCCATTTCCGAGTCTGACGCAGAGTCCGAGCAGGATACTCAACGCCGAAACACCAGACAGGAGAAGATGGATCTCGACCGAGCTGGACCATTCGATCTCCAGAGACTCCGCACGGCCGTCACGTCCATCATCAAAGAGTGCGTTGAGGAGTTTGGCGTGGCCAACATGAACGACTACATGGATTGGCAGCCAGAACCGCCCACGCCTGTGTATCTGGTGTTGTTGAACGAGATGCCATGTTATCCGGCTGAAAGAGTCCACAGATATTGAGAGGGACTGCAGGTCTTCAAGATCTGAAGTGTGTGCTGATCGTGAGAGTCAGTTTGTGGGTGATTAAATATGAGAGATGATCTGAGGTTGATATTTGATGTGTTTGGATCTTGAGGGAGAAAAAAAAGTGGTGGATGATTGTGATCTTTGAGATTGATGAGAGTTGGCGTTTTGGATTGTTGGACCTGAGAGATATACCTGTGGGGGCCCCTGGAGTACGATATTACCCCTAGTTTTTTTACCTGATGATTGGGTTTTTGGAGTAGTAGATATTATGGATACGAAGAGAGTCAGTTTATTCAACGAGCTCATAAAAGAAGTGCTGTGTTCGCCGCTTGAATCAGCTGCTCATGGGTTAGTGCAAACATACCCTGAACTCGTGTCAAGGGAAGAATGGATCAACGATAATACGAAGAGTAATACACTTGAATGGCCTAGGGGTAGATATTCGTACTTCTACCCAATTTAGAGGTTACTGTCTGGTAAATATGGAAAGGCGAGAGATTGGTGGAGCGAGGAGGCATACAATGATGCAGGGAAGGAGGTTACCTGTCACTCCTTCCCTCGACAACATCAACCGCCTCAAGAACCACGTGCAAGTGCACCTAAGAGACCATGGTCTTCAAACTTCCTGCTCAGCCAGTCAATTCAGAATCCTGCAATTCCCTATAATTCATCACCACCAAAACCAGTCCTACACCGACTCTCCTCATCAGCTGTCACCAGCAATGGATGCTCCCATTTAGCAGTTTCACTTTTTTTTCTCTCTCCCCTCTCTCGAATTTGAATTCATTACAATCATGACGAGTAGATTCTCTTATGGTGTCTCTGGAACGTGCGGCTACTCTGGAAGTTACGGCTACAGCTACGGAACCCTCACCGCGCAGCAGACCGCGCAACAGGCCGCCCACTCCCGCGAGGCATCGAGGCACTCGGCCTTGTCTCATCCCTCTTATCCACCATCGGTACGCTCAAGGAAGAGAACTTCAACCGACGAGCAGCATCCTCGACACGAATCGTCTCCGCATGCACACACTCGCGAGTCCTCTGCTGTTGGGAGGAGGTCCTCGGTAGAGGATGAAGGTACACACGGTCATCGCAGAAGACACAACGAAGTCAGACACTCCGAGGAAGCTCGAAGGCGATCTATTGATCATCAGAGACACTGCCATCACCCACATCAAGCACATCTTGGCGTCCCTGATCCTCATCATCTGCATCATGCGCATCACACTCCTCATTGTCACCATTCTCACCAGCGGTACGATCCACAGACAAGGCAGTTCCAATACTCCAGCAGCGTTCCCAAAGATACCAAGTTTCCCGGGCTAGCCCAGAGCAAGGTGGTGGCGGTCAAATCCAAGAACAACGACAAATCCTGGCGCCGGATCAGCCAGAGTATGGGGTTGGTCAAGGCCAGGGAGCACAACCGACCTGAAGAGAAGCTCCCTGGTCCTACTGTTCTCAAGGTGAAGAAGAAGAAAAAATGGAAGTGGTGGTGGGGTAAGAAGAAGGAGAAGGATCCTGCCGAGCCGGAGCATCATGATATCTACAACGCGCCAAAGAACAAGGACCCTGAGATGATCGCTCGACCAGAATCAAGGCCTGGCATGATGGAGTGGCTCGGTGGAGAGTCTCTACCCGTTCAATCACCAAAGGCTTTGAAGGAACTATTCGAGCGGGAATACTGAGCAGATGGGCTTGGTACTAGATCAGTATCGGCTGGGTCATTGGTTGTTATGGGCAGGGACAATGAATGTTGTTGAAGGATGGCCACTCTTTCTTGTTTACCCAGAGCAATATCCATTTCGCTACAGAGTAGGTCAAGTATCTTACTCCTATTAACCTGAATATGGCCTCCCTTCTCGATGCCTACACTCCTCTCTCAACGGCGAGTGAGCAGTGTGAAACCATTAGCACGGTATAAACGGCACCGTCTACCTTATCATCAAGAAACTAGTTGACTAAGAACTACCCGTTGGCTCATGTGGGTCTAGCGACCCAGGCGAGCCAACCTAGCAAGCTAGGTTGGCCACAAAATTGTGAGACAGCCACAAAATTATGAGACAGCCCCTCACTTGATGATGTCCTCATTTCCATGCAATTACCACCTATTTTAGCCATATTTCACGATATAAACCGGTAGAAATTACCTCTCTTTTGTCTATCTTTATTATGCCGAGTAAGGCGAATCTCAGGGCCGCCCGGGAAGTCGTGGCATCACATGCCCGGCATGCCCGGGGCCTCCACCGAACCTCTTCCTCCGGCATAACTCAACCTCTCTCACTTCGTGCCGCCAACGCACGCCACCCCGGGTCCTCTATTGCTTCTATCCAGAGGATCGTAACGAGGATAGAGACCGGATTTACGCCTCAGCAAGTCGGCAGACCGCGGGTCCTCACAGACGAAGAAGATAAAGCTATCGTGGCCTTCATCATCTAGATAGAGAGGTCCGGATTCCCTGCCTCCAAGCCTAAGTTAGAAGATACCGCGACAACCCTCCGTCAGCGTAGGAACCCTAATGCCGATCCCATTAGCAAGATATGGTATACTCGCTTCCGTGACGATTATCCTGAGCTTAAGCAGGTATTCCTCAAAGCCGCAGAATAGTCTCATAAGTCCTAGGAAGCCGGTAGTCTCGATAACCTCAAATAATAGTTTAAGAACCTTACTAAGACCATCCGGAGTCATAATATCGGCGCCTCTAAGTGCTAGAATACTAACCAGGCTAGTATTAGGATTAGGATCCTCAGGGAAAGCATCAAAGTCCTCGTCGTACGGACAAGGCAAAGGACAAAGAAGCAGGTTCTCTCCCCTTCTAACCGGGAGACCTATACCCTCATCGGTACAGGCAGCGCAGCGGGTAATACGATGCCGCCGTGGCTCATCTTTAAGACATAGCCTACACTAGATTAGGCGTATATAGATGCCGATCCTAATATCCGCTTCGCCTAGTCCGACACGGCCTTCTCCAACGGCGAGATTACTCTCGAGTAGATAATATACTTCAACCGGAGTTCCTAGGCTAAGTCCGCTAAGGCACAGCATACGAGACAGATATTTAAAGAGTGGTTTAGGTATAACGAGTTCCTTAGAGATCCTTTACGAAAGTATATTCAATATAACATTCCTCCTATCTCTCAGGCCCCTAACATAACTATCTAGAGACTCATCGTCTTTAATGGCTTCACGGGACATAGAGTCTTTGCCATTAGAGAGTATTATGCGAAGTTCTACATTATCATAGCTCCCTTGCCGCCTCACTCTACGCATATACTACAGCCGATGGATATTAGAGTCTTTCAGCCGCTAAAGAACGCCCACTAGAAGCTTCTCGGCAAGTAGCTTCGAAAAGGAAATATCTCCTTCTTCCGGGCTAACTTTGTCCGCGGCTTTTAGGCAAATTACACCTCTTCTTCTATATTAATAGAGTTACTAAGTTAAAGCAGGAAGTCTTCGAGGAAGGGTTCACGGCACACAACATCATCTCAGGCTTCGAGAAGTCAGGCATCTATCCACTAAATCCCGAGCCGGCAATAACATACCTAGCCAAGAAGCAGCTTCAGGCGAAGCAGGCTATGGACCTGGCCTTCGCCTCCCTCCTTCCTTAGGAATCTCGCTTCTAGGCCGCCGTAGATACCGCCAAACGACTCTTAGACCGCTACGGCGATACCTTTAGCTCCCCTACGCGTGCCGGACTTCATTAGATACATAATGTCGTCACGGAAGCTATGGTTCTTGAATCTATAGTTACTACTTATATCGATGACCGCCGGGCTCAGATTGAGAAGAGATATAACGCTAAGAAGAGAGGGAAGAGAGCGAAGCCGATAGGAGACTCTAGTCATAACGTCAGTCTATAGGAGATTCGAGACTAATAGGAGGAGGTTATCGCCGAAGCCCGGCAGAAGGAGGAGAAGGCGTAGCTCCGGACCGCTCGCAGCTTCATTATATAGGAGATAAAGAAGATTAAGGACTAATAGCAGTAAGAGAAAGAGATCACCATCGATGGCATAAAGAAGAAGGCATCGTAGGCTTAGTGGTTAGAGCATATAGGGAAGGACATTAAGTATTATTCTATAGAGACATAACGCTCAACTATGCATTAGATGCTTACCTAGAAGCCTAACCCTTTTATAATAGATACCTAACTGCCGCAGGAAGTTCACGAAGCTATTTATAACGCCAGTTTTGCCCCGAAACCCCTTAGCGCGATAGACTAGACCGCTCTCGCAGGAAGTAACGATAGCATTACTTTCTAGCTAGACCCGGCTCTTACCGAGGAAGAAGAAGAGGAAGAGGAAGAAGAAGATAACGAGGAACTCCCTCTATTCGAGCCTCTACTGCGAATGCCCTCATCGCCGCCGGTTACACCCTCGCCGCCGCGGCTGCCGTCTTTGCCACCTGAACTTCCCTCCACGCCGTGCCCGATACGGCCTCAATACCATATATCAGGGATACAGAGGATCACGAGTATTATCACGCAAGCAAGGGCCGCACAAGAAGCCAGCCCGGAGGGCTGAAAAGACGCTCTCATAGCTAAATTTGTATAAGGAATCGTCTAGGAAGGCAGCGGCCTTAGAGGCTTAGGCGGCGGCTTCTATCATAGCTATAGTTAATATTATTAATATCATCATATTAGGCATCGCCAATAGCTTCAACTTACTCTTTTGCACCTTCACAAATCACTTTGGACGGCTTCTAAAACCGAGAGACCGAAAAAGGCGGCTTCTTAAGGGGGGAAACGGGGCCCCGGGCTGTCTCATAATTTTGTGGCTGTCTCACAATTTTGTGGCCAACCTAGCTTGCTAGGTTGGCTCGCCTGGGTCGCTAGACCCACATGAGCCAACGGGTAGTCTCATTATTATGAATTGAATCATTCCCTATCTATGCTCGTCGGGTATCAAAGGTACAACCCGAGATGCTGAACCACCATGATGGGTTCAGTCGGCTCAACCCAAGATGACCACCCTTTGATAAGTGAGATACAGTAAAAAGCA